GAGGGGCAGCCAGTGTAGACATGGGCCGTTTCCACTCCTGTGGGGACAGTGCTGTGTAAGTTGAAAATTCCACATACCTAGTGCTTAACTTTTTAGGAAGAGATAATTGTGCCTGTTTCCTGGGATTGTTTCAGGGTACCTAGTATCTGATAAATTCCAAAAAGTATTAGGTGTTAAATGGGTTAATTTTTGAACACAAATATTTATTTTGAAAGGGAGAGGCGTAGGTCATCCATCTGCTGGTTCATTTCCCAGAAGCTGCCAGATTGGAGCCATGCTGGAGCCAGGAACTGCCGGAGTCCAGCTCCAGCTGAGTTCGGAACTCGCGAAGGGTGTGTGGATGAGGCGCAAAGAAAGAAAGAGACGGACCACTAGGAACTCTTGACTATCGTGGACGACGCACAAAAGCTGTCCGCTTTATTTATACAAAATCAGTCAAACTCTGGCTCAGGCTTTTTACGTCACGCTCAAGCGGGGGTTTCTAATGATAAATCTGCCATTTGTTTCACCTAAGGCTAGGTTGCCATTCACCTGGCACCTGGCGCCTGGCTAGGAAAAGGTTTTCAATAGATGATGCATATCAGTCAGTAGCACATTCCTACCACAATGACTTTACAGCTAGGTCTTGAGACAGTCAAGGAAGGAAGGGGCCTAAAAGATCAAAGAAAGAGGGAAAGAATAGATTCCCACTACACCTGAAGACAGAACACCCTTGATTAGCATAGGATCAAAAAGGGGGGTTAGCACCCTTGATTAGCATAGGATCAAAAGGGGGATTTAACACTCTTGATTAACATATTGCCACAGGATGCAGCCCTAACAGCAATAACAGCTCTTTGGCTAAAAACGGCACCAGCAACATTAGCTTCTAAGTTCCTATTGATATTTAACAGTAACTCCGCAGAGGCAGACAATGCCTAAATAGATTACAGAATACTCAGCGGGGTTGTCCGGTGTCCATGCAAAGGGAGGCAGAGCTGCATTCAGGTGTTGTAGAGACATCCGCCGGGCCTTGCCACACAGCGGGAAGTTCCTTGCGACCTTGCCTGCAATAGAACGATACTCTTCACAACTTCCTGTCTTCCACACCCATCACACAGACCCCAGCAAGGAATCATGAACTGTGGGCGGCAGGGGCACAGGCTTCGCAAGCAGCGTCAAGTCACCATACCGCAATGGCAGCCCCCAGAAGAGTTATTTTTCTAATGTTATCCAGACCTTCACTCTGCTACAAGTCTTGTGCTCTAAACAAGTCCCTGGGGCCAGCCTTAAGGCACCAGCCGCTTATGACACTGGCTCCAACCTCGGCATCCCTTAAAGACACTGGTTTGTGTCACAGAGGGAGGGCAGTGGAGGGTGACCCAGGTATGTGAGCCCCTGCCATCCTTATGGGAATGGCCCCTGGTTCCTGCCTGGCCTGGACACAGCCATCGTGGCTGTCTGGGGAGTGAACCAGCAGATGTGGATCTCCGTCTTTCTCTGTGTATCTTTGCCTTTCAAATAAATGTTCCAAGTCACAGCCACACTGGTGTTTTCCTGTTAGTGCCAAGTACAAATGCCCCCCACCCTACAACAGGGTTATCCTGATAAGCCATTATGCTGAAAATGCATTTAATATGCTTCACCAAACAAAACCACAGAACAGCAACGCAAGCCAAAAAGGCATGCTGGCTCCCCCTTGGGGTGTCTGGCATACGTTGGGGGAGATGGTTCATCTCAGGCTAACCTGAGAAGAATCAAAGCAGTTCCTACAGAGTATCTACTCACATGACATGAAGGCACCAATGTAGGCTGCTCCGTGCCCAGCAGACGCTGTAAGTTAAACCTGCACACAGCTGGGAAGCTGACCACTTCCCCAGGGGCCCCATTAGCAGCTGCTGACTCCTCTCATTCCTGGGCTGGGAATGAGGCACCCTGTAAACTGTATAGATCATATAACTAGCTTCAACATTGCAGTGGGCTAGGCTAGGCATCTCATATTGGATGGCCACTTCAGGTACAGGCTGCTTGGGCCTGGCGTGGTAACCTTGTGGCGGAAGTTCTTGCCTTGTGTGTGCCGAGATCCTATGTGGGCATCAGTTTATCTCCCAGCTGCTCCACTTCCAAGCTCCCTGCTTATAGCCTGGGAAAGCAGCAGAAGCACAGACCAAAGCCTTGGGACCATGCACCTGCATGGGAGACCCGGAAAAAGCTCCTGGCTCCTGGCTTTGGATTGACTCAGCTCTGGCCACTGTGGCCCCTTGGGGAGTGAGACAGCACATGGAAGATCTTTCTGTAAATCTGACTTTCCAATAAAGAATAAATAAATCTCAAAAACTTTGGGCTGCTCTATTTCCAATCTGGCTACTGCTAGTGTACAACAGAAAATGGCCAAGGTGCAGCTGGATCCCTGTTTATGTGGGAGACCTGGCTGTAGTTTTGAGCTCCCTGCACCAGACTGGACCAGTCCTGGAAGTTGGAACCACTTTGCAAGTGAACAAGAAGATGGGTGGAAGATCTCTGTATCTTCCTTTCTCTGCCACTCTACTTATCAAGGATTAAAAGATCACACAGGACAAATAGGTTCAGCTAGCAGCATGTTCCTGGGTCTGTGGATGCACTAATGTGGGATTTTTTCAACCAGTAGACCTTGGAAAGGTTTTTGTTTTCAATCATGGAGCAATGAAATCAACTTCTCATCAAAACCAAAAAAGTAACATCCTTGGGCACTCTTCCTCACATCAGATTCTGGTATCTCTAAGGTGCTGGTGTAGTTTGTCAGCAAGGAGCAGCTTCTTCCAGGCAGACACAGAAGACTGAAAGGTGACACCCACCTTCCTGCATACCTGACCACCCCACCCTGACCCTGCATGCATTCCTCTCAACTGTGTAAACAATCTTCAAAATCCTCAGGGCACCAGCTCAATCCCTGCAGCTCCACTTCCCATCCAGCTCCCTGCTTGTGGCCTGGGAAAGCAGAAGAGGACAGCCCAAAGCCTTGGGATCTTGAAGCCACTTGGGAGACCCAGAAGAGACTCCTGGCTTTAGATCAGGTCAGCTCTGGCCAGTGCGGCCACTTGGAGAGTGAATCAGCAAATACAAGATCCGTCTGTCTGCTCTGTAGATCTGACTTTCCAATAAAAATAAATCTTTTAAGAAATTAAGTTTTAAAAATATGTTCAGCTTAAGACCATCATCCAGCAAAACAACTAGTGCTTAAAACTGGGTTTAGACATGACAGAACTTCAGAATTCTGATGACTTAAAGGCTGTTTTTCTTTTTTTTTTTTTTTTGTCAAAATTCAGTATTATTTTTTAATATGTATGATGCATGTCTTTTTTTTTTTTAAATAAAATTTATTTTGACATTTTTTACATACTTAGTTAGAGTAAGAAGGTTCAAGGGCTACAGGAAAGTGGATAATACTAGTATGTTTTCCATCTTGTTACCTTCATGTTTAAAAGGGGGGTATTAAGGGAAAAGGCCCACCCAATTTCCCACCCTCCCCAAGTCCCGGGTGTAGGGCATGCTCTGAGGTTCTTGCTCGAGTGGTTTTGATATTGCAACAGTTATGAATCGCTGTCAATCTTGCCACTCCAAGCACTATGAGGTCTTTGAAAAATCCACTGATTGACATAGTCCATCATAGCTGAGATGGTTGGTTGACCTGTTCTGTCTTCTCTCTTTTCTTCGTTAGGATTCTGAGTCCAGCATTTAGATTAGGAAGATCTCCAAAGAAACTTCTTGTATGTGCTAACAAGTACAGGGCCAGGCACCGTCCATCGCTCCAATCAGCTGGTGGTTGTAATTGCTGGGTTGGTTCTGTTTTCACTCCCGACTTCCACTGGAACCAATGGGTGTTGCAGTCCAGCCTGGTTCTGCCCCGCGCATATTTGGCCCTCACCTAAACCAGTGGGAGCTGCAGCATAGTTGGAGCGACCCACAATAACCCCCACCAGGCCCGCCCCCAACCCTGGTTTGCCAGTAAGTGTAGCAGTAATCCAGTCTGTCCCACACCCCATTCCACCCCAGCCGCTATCTTAGTTTTATGTCCTCCCGTGGAAGTGGTAACCCAAGAGGGATGAGCCCACTATTTCCCTCCCAGGCCTCTTCCACTCCCAGATTCCAGTTGATGCTGCCCAACCAAACCTTGCCCACTTTAATTCTGTTTGCACCAGTAGGAATAATCCGCCGAGCCCGGCTTTTCCCTGATCTAGTCCACATGAGGCACACAGGTGTGGTAGCTCTGCCTAGTCGGGTCTGCCCCCATCCCAGCCCATGCTCTCCTGCGGAAGTAGCTATCCTGCAAAGGAACCCTTATTCCCCTGCTGGCTCTGCCTACTTCCTTTCTTGTTCTCAGGCTGGTTGGACGCTGCGGTCCCCTCCGGTACAGGCAACCTCACCTCGGCATTCCATATTGTACACTAGTCTTTGTTGCGACCGAACCTGGGTCAACCCACACTGGTGCCTGGATTTGCCAGTGGATGACGTGAACAGATTCAGCCTGGTCTTGCCCCCACGTCTGCCAAGTGTATGCCAGTGGGTAGCTTTCCATAAAGGCTGTTTTTCAACTGCAGTCTTGCTGGAGTAACAGTATATAAAATGGTCAGAAGGGGTGTGACCCTTGTGACGTAATTGCAAGCTTTCAGCGGCATGTCCCAACAGCTCTTACACCTGGATACGAGGACTGAAGGCTGCTGGGGCTGGCCCCGTGGCACAGCAAGTCAAACCTTCAATACCCGGGGGTGTGTGTGTGGGGGGGCATTTGGTCTAGTGGCTGATGTTGCTCAGGTTCCACATCTGAATTCCAGCTGTGTTTAGCACGTCCAGTTCCCTGCTCAGGTGTATCCAGGAGACAGCAGGTGATGCTGGTTCACTTACGTGGGTCCGTGCCACCCTCATGGGAGACCCAGGTGGGGTTCCAGGCTCCTGATGTCAGCCTGGGCATTTGGGTTGTCAGATGGAAAAGTTCTCTCTGCCTTTCCCATTAAATGTGCTTAATTAAAACAAACTGCTGAGGGTAAAAGTATCCCTGTTACATTTACTGAGAGGCTGTTCTGTGCCAGGCACTGCATTTTACATTTCTAAATTATTTACGACAACGTTAGGGCAGTTACATCGCAGGCTGTGCCACGGTGCAGGCATGGAACCAAGATCTGATGGACTCAGCGCCTTTCCTTCGCTCAAGTGGTCCAGGAGCCACGCGACCCCTTTCTCATCTCAAGGGACAGGTCAACAGGCATCCATCGCCACAAGATTTCCCAGACCGGTTCTGTGCTTGGTTACCCAGGGTGGAAGGCTCAACCTCGGGGTCACATGACCTGAGGTCGCGCTGAAAGTGGCCGCTAAGTCCATGCAGCTTCAGCCTCCACTCCCGGGGAGCCCCAAACCCCCGTCGGGGTGACTGCAGGGCTGTCTGCATGGAGGGTCAGATTTATGGCTTCCTTCAGTTCCTCACATTCGATCCCCGCACGCTGGCCTCAGCCCGGACGTGGACTTGAAAGCAATCGGGACAGGATTTGGGGGAATGTGCTCACCCAAGGGGCAGCTTCCCATGCCTGGGGAGAATGGGGAGGGGGACTCTTGGGAACAACATCCAGGGTCCCGACGCCCCGCTGGGCGCATCGAGGGAAAGGTGGCCTCAAGCCAACGTCCCAGCGCCCGTGGAGGGGATACGGTCTCACGTTGACCTCCCACTACCGCTGACCATCCAGTTCTTCCTCCAGGCCACGTTCTCCTGCGTGGCCACGGACTCCTGCAGAGTGGCCATTATTAGCTGCTGGGTCCTGGCCGCCTCATCCCTGCGCCGCGGGTCCTGCTCCGGTATGTCCTGCGAACAGGGAGAATTGGGAAGTTTCAGTCCCCTGCCCGAGGTTCGCCGCCGCCGCCGCCGCCGCCGCCGCCGCCTCCACCCCAGGGCTCCAGCATACTGTTACCTTCAGCATCGCCTGCTTCTGCAGCTCTCCCGGGGTCACGAGAGCAAAGAGTGCGGAGCCCACGCCAGCCCCGGCGCCCAGCATGGCCACTACGATCAGCGCCTTCCGCAGCGACCCCATGGCTCTCCGTGCGAGCAGCGAGACGCCCTCTGCGGCCTCCCGCGGCCTAGAACGGCCGCCTCCCGCGCAGGCTAGAGCGACCTGGACAGGAAGCCATAGAGAAACCGCCATCCTAGAGAGGACGACACCATAGAAACGTTTAGCCCAGAGCGCCCGAGGCTTTACAGATACAATGGGGAGCTAGCGTTCCAAGAAGTGTTGGCGCTCAAGGTTCAGGGCTTAGCCTTTTGTCATCAGACCCTCGCTGCGGAGAGTGTGTGGCCTTGTTGTTCGGTTTTGCAGTTGCCCTGTGCTCTGTCCCTCTAAATGTCCCTCTCAGTAGAGACCTAACATAGGCTCTGTGACTTCCAACGAAACTGTTTTCTTTTTAAATATTTTAATACATATATATTAGTTATTATTTATTTATTTGAAAGGCAGAGAAAGAGGTAGATCTTGCACTTCCTGGTTTATTTCCCCAAATGCCCTCAACAACCTAGTTGAGTTGGGCCAAAAGCCAGGAGCCCAAATCCCCCCGAGATCTGTTCGCGGAGGCTCCCAGGCTGGGCAATAGCCCGAAGCTGGGTGGGAAGCCGAGAAGCCAGGATAGAACCACGCCTTCTGATTCGGCATGCACGCGTCCCCAGCAGCATTTAAACAGAGGCCCAACACCTGTTGCGTGTGAGCCTTTTTCAACACAGCAAATAATGATCACCCAGATATTAACCCCCAAAACAAGCCCTATGCAATGTCTGTGATGTAGATACTACATAACTACCCATCTAGTCTCCCTTCCTTTGTTTAACTTGTCTCCACAGGAGAAGTACAACGGCTCCAGTAGCTAATCATCACCTTGCAAGTGCTGGGATCTTAAATGTGCTCCCCTTTGTGTCCCAGCTGTTCCACTTCCCATCCCGCACCTGGGATGGAATGGCCTGGGATGGCCCAAAGCCTTGGGATCCTGCACCCACACACCCACGCACCCACACACCCATGTGGGAGACCTGGGGGAAGCGCCTGGCTTCAGATTGGCTGGGTTCTGATCTTTACTGCATTCTGGGAAGTGAGCCTGCAGATGGAAGCTCTTTCTGACTCTCCATTTTTATCAGTCTGGCTTTCCCACGTATCTAAAATCCACTCACTAAATCCGGGGAGTGATGTGACTGGCCTTGGTGACCCCTGATCAGGAGGTCATCAATCTCAACAAATGATGGTTTGGTTTTCATTCTTGTGTGTTTTGCAGAAACCCCGAGTAAGGATTAACTACCGCGTGTGGCATCCTCAGGTGCTGTATCTATCTTTGGCCCCTGGCAAGAAGGCCGGGAGCACTGCAGGCACAGCCACGGACCGTGTGAGCTGACATGCCTCTCAGACCCAGCCTGGTCCTGTGACATCCTTTACCTTCAACTCAGCCCCTTCCCACTCAGGAACCTGGGCATTAAGTGGTAGCTGCCTGGCTTCTGTGCTCTGTGCTTTGCAAATAAATACCCACTTTCCCCCCTGCAACCCCAGGTCAGGCAAGTAGACTCAAATTTGGGGATCTACTACAAACTCATTTAGTCAGAGCAACCCAAACAAAAGCTTAAAGTCAAGTACAGTGCAAGGAGGAGGCCCTGGTGATACATGCTTTTTCATTATTTCAAAACAACCTATTAACTTTTCTCATCACGGTATACCCTTGGCATTGGTCCATCTTTTGTTCTAACTACAAAAACTCTGGATTTACTGTAACATCAAAATCTTAGTTTAGAGCAGAAAATATCTTCTAGGGGCCGGGCACGGGCCCGGTGCCGTGGCCTAGCGGCTAAAGTCCTGGCCTTGAACGCGCCGGGATCCTTGTATGGGCACTGGTTCTAATCCTGGCAGCTCTACTTCCCATCCAGCTCCCTGCTTGTGGCCTGGGAAAGCAGTCGAGGACGGCCCAAAGCCTTGGGACCCTACACCCGTGTGGGAAACCCGGAAGAGGTTCCTGGTTCCCGGCTTCGGATTGGCACCAGCCGTTGCGGTCACTTGGGGAGTGAATCATCGGATGGAAGATCTTCCTCTCTGTCTCTCCTTCTCTCTGTATATCCCCCTTTCCAATAAAAATAAATAAATAAATAAATAAAATAATTTTATTTAAAAATAAATAAAAGAAAAATGAAAGAAAAGAGATAAACCTTCCAGATTGAGAGAATTAGTGAGCAGAGCAGTCACGGAACAGTGAGTTTGTATCAGAACTCTTCTCCCACAGGCCTTAATCCAGGTGCCCTTGTTTTCGCCCAGGGTCTCTAGGACTAAGCCGGAATAAAGCTCGGGGCTGGGGCTGGGGCATCCTCCCCTCCCTGGGAGGCCCTTAATCTCCTGTCATGTCATCCTCCAGTCCTCAGAAGTGATTATGGGGTCAGGTTCCAAAGAAGATTAAAGGAGCCCTGTGTGGATGCCCTGGGCAAGGGGACTGTGGCCCAGGGACCCTCAACCACGCTGCACTGTCACAACCCCCACCACCATGGCCCTGGTGCCAGGGAGCAGTGAGGAGGACGGACCTTGGCCTAGAGACAGTGCAGACTCTTCCTGGCGTGCAGAAAGCCCTGGGATGACCAACCCTCCCTGGAAAGATGGAGAGACTGGCAGGGTCGAAGGGCACCAGGACGTTCAGGTCGGTACCCCCTCCTCGTCCTGGGGCAGGTCATCCTTCAGCATGGCCCACCTGCCCTGTTGCCTTTGTTCAGGCTGCCTCTCCCAAGCCCCGCCTGCCTTCCATTGTGGTGGAGCCCTCCGAGGAGAACAAAGACAGTGCGGATCTGCGCTGGCCTTGCGATGAACTGCTGCTGCTCCCTGATGGGGAGGAAGAGGAGGCTGAGGTCTTCTTCCAAGACCAGAGTGAGGAACCAGGTGACAGAGGGCTGGGTGTTCTGGGTAAGGCAGATGGGGGTGTGGCCCTCCATTGAGCGGTACAGGCATACAGTAAGTCATGCCAGAGAAAGTCAGGGCAGGTGGTGAAGCTGGAACATGGGAAGCAATTGTGATGCCAGAATGGGTAACTCTTTGTGATTCATTTATTTGAAAATCAGTCACAGAGAGAGATCCTTCGTCCATTGGTTCACTCCCCAAAATGGCTGCAATGGCCTGGATGAAGCTAGCTTAAAGCTAGGAGCCAGGAGTTCCTTCCAAGTCTCCCTTGTGGGTATAGCAGCCTGGGCCTGGCATGGTAGCCTAGTGACAAAAGTTCTCGCCTTGCACATGCCGGGGTCCCATATGGGCACCAGTTCATGGGCCTGGCAGCTCTACTTCCCATCCAGTTCCCTGTTTGTGGCCTGGGAAAGCAATTGAAAGTGGCCCAAGGCATTGGGTCTCTGCACCCACATGGGAGACCCAGAGGAGGCTCCTGGCTCTTGGTTTCTGATCAGCTCAGTTCTGGCCATTGCGGCCACTTGGGGAGTGAACCAACAGATGAAAGATCCTTCTCTCTGTGTATCTGCCTTTCTAGTAAAAATCAATAAACCTTAAAGAAAAACTATCATTTTTTAAAAAATTGGATGAGATGATATGATAGGATATGATATGTGAGAGATGAATGCCCATGTGGGCCTCTGAGTAGGGTGAGGAGTGTCAGGTATGGAAGGTGGGTGGACACAGTCCAGCACCGGAGGACGGGAGACAGTCCTTTGATGACGCTTTAGAGAACCTGCTGCGAGGAAGAGCATCCTGAGGATGTTACTTGAGTGGCTTAAATAGCCCTGAGTTGTTCATTTCATTGCTCCAGGGTTATTGAGGAAAAAAAAAAAGAAAAAGATCCCAGGTGTAACAACCCATAAATAGTTTTGGATTATTTTCTCTTCTAGACTCTTAATCCAGTTCTTCATACTTTACAGAAGCTACCTGTTTTCTTTATTGTTTTTTAAATATTTACTATGTGCTAGGCAATGAGTGACTTCTTCATGAAGGAGGTGGTGGAAAAAAAACCAAATTTTTTAAGATATATTTTTATTGGAAAGTGAGATTTATAGAGAGGAGAGACAGAAAAATCTTCCATCTATTGTTTCACTCCCCATGTGGCCACAATGGACAGACGTGATCTGATCTGAAGCCAGGAGCTTCTCCTGGAGCTCCCACACAAGTGCAGGGTCCCAAGACCTTGGGCCGTCCTCTTCTGCTTTCCCAGGACACAAGCAGGGAGCTGGAATGGAAGTGGAGCAGCTTGGACTAGGCCCATGCAAGGAGAGGGTTTTAGCCACTAGGCTGTTGCACTGGGCTCAAAGCTCTTAATCTTAACTGTCTTATATTTTTTTCCTCTCAAGTGTGTGTTGGGCTTTGAACTATAGCAGCTGGGACATGAAGCGAACTGGTGCCCATATGGGATGCAGGAGCCACATGCCAGGGGGTTAACTTGCTGTACCACCATGCTGGTCTCCTGTTGGGTCAATTTTGGAGGCACAAAGAGAGCGCTACCATTTATTGGCTGGGACTGTGCTGGATCCAGGCTCAGTGTAGGAGCCAGGAACTCATCCTGGCTCAGTCGTGCCAGGGACCTGATTATTCAAACCATCATCACGATAACTGCTGTGTCCCAGTTTGGTCTGCCAGGAAGCTGGCTACAGGCAAGACCCAGAGAGCCAGGCGAGGTGCTCCAGGGTGAGAGAACACTCTTCCTATTATTATTAAATACTTCAGTTTCCCTCTAACATCTTATTTATTTTTAAAGATTTATTTTTATTGCAAAGTCAGATATACAAAATGGAGGAGACAGAAAGATCTTCCGTCCCCAAGTGGCCATAATGGCTGGGGTACTGTTCCAATCCAAAGCCAGGAGGCAGGAACTTCTTCCAGGTCTCCCACACGGGTGCAGGGTCCCAAGGCTTTGGGCCGTCCTTGACTGCTTTCCCAGGCCACAGGCAGGGAGCTGGATGGGAAGTGGGGCTGCAGGGATTAGAACCAGTGCCCATATGAGATCCTACCATGTCCAAGGCGAAGACTTTAGCCACTAGGCCACAGCACAAGATCCTCAACATCTTATTTTTTAAAAAATTAATTTTTTATACAGAAAGGAGGAGAGACAGAAAAGCTGGATGGCAAGTGAAGTTGGGATTAAAACCAGCGCCCATATGGGATCCCAGTGTATACAAGGCAAGGACTTAAGCAGCTAGGCTATTGTTCTAGGTCCTCTTCCTATTATTTTTAAAAAAGGTTTATTTGGGCCCGGTGTGGTAGCCTAGTGGCTAAAGTCCTCACCTTGAATGTGCTGGGATCCCATATGGGTGCCGGTTTTAATACCAGCAGCTCCACTTCCCATCCAGCTCCCTGCTTGTGGCCTGGAAAGCAGTGGAGAGCAACCCAAAACCTTGAGACCCTGCAGTTGTGTAGGAGACCCCTGAAGAAGGTAGCTTTGGATCGGGTCAGTTCGGGCCACCTGGAGAGTGGATCAGTGCACGGAAGATTTTTGTCTCTCCTCTTTAAATCCGACTTTCCAGTAAAAATAAATCTTAAAAAAATTCCCTAACCTATGAGGAATTATATTTTTCACTTTTCCTCCCTCTCCAGGCTGGACTTGGAGCCCACAGGACCCTCCATCTCCCTTGAGGACATTTAATCCTGGCCCAAACTGGGGGAAGGAACAGGGAGAGCATGATGTGTCCTGGGTCCCCAACCCTGGTCCTCCTTGGGACACAGCAGCAGGTGTCTGTGGAAGCAGGCTGGTGGAGCACTCCCAGCTCCTCCTCCCTCCGGACAACCTTGCAGGTGAGTGCAGGGAGCACTTTAGGGGTTACATCATGGGTCACATTGGACTGTTCCCAAGAGCAGCTATTGGTGTGACTGGTAACATCCAATGGTTCAAAGAGTATTGTAAGTGCCTGTGTAACTTCAGGCGCTTAAAAAAATATCGCACCCCAACCAGGGAACCAAATGTGAAAACCAGCTTTATAAACTCTCATATCCCAGCTAACCTCTTCTTTGCCCAATTGAGACACCAAGAACAACTATTTTTAATGAGAACTCTGGACCAAGTAAGCGAAGTAGGTGATGCCCCCAAAAGGGCCAAGCTCCTGCACGGTCACCTTCCAGCCACGGGACCCTTGGGACCCTTGCTCTAGGCATGGGAGCCGTACATCGGGGTCCTCATCCGAGAACTGCACCAGAGTGCCCCGGGGGCTCAGGACCCTCAAGCACTCGGAGAGCACCCGATAGCTCCCAGGCAGCCCACCCCGGGCCACAGCGTCCCAGGTGCCCTTGTCCAGCACCAGCTCGAAGGAGCCCGAGGAAGCCACAGGTACCAGGTTCTGGGCGTCAGCTTGCAGGAAGCGCAGGCGGGAATCCGGGTGCCCAGGGTCTAGGCCGGCCTCAAGGCGCCTGTTCATGTGAGCCACGGCCACAGGAGAAAAGTCCACTCCCAGTACGTCCACGGGCTGTGGGGACTTTGCGTAAAGGTTTGCACACAAGCTTGAGGTACCACAACCCACATCCAGTACCCGAACCGGACCGGCTGTCTGGGACTGAGACTCCTGGAGCAGCGGCAGAAGCAATCCCTGGACCTCCTCATATCCGAAGAACCAGTCGAAGGTGGGGTCATTGCCCAGGCGTGGCCGGGCATGAAGTTGGTCCCAGAGGCGGCGGTCAGCTAGGCAGCTGCCGGCCAGGGAGCCTGCGGACACATGGGGGCCCGGGTCATTTTGTGTCCGATGTCTCTCATTACACGAAACAGAGACCGATAAAAGCCACAATTCCAGTGGGGCATAACCGCGTGGACACAAAAAGCGCCACCCGACCCTCCCTCTCTGCACCCACCCCCCCTACCAGCCAAGGCACGGGACACGCCCGCCGCGAGTGTCCGCGCCTGGAACATTCGGCTCAGCAAGGCCATCTGGAGGTCGGCGACAAGATGGGCCGGAAAACGGGATGCAAAGAGTCGCTTGCACGCCAGCCGGAGGGCGAGGTGCAACTTCACGTGGTGACGGAGGCATGCAGCCTCAGGAAAGGGGGGGAAAAAGGACGCGGACGCGCAGCTTGCAAATATGAACGGCCTTTATTGTTACCACGCGAAATGAAGGAGGGGATTACGACAGCTCCTTCTGCTGCAGAGGCGTCCGCACACCTGAAACCAAAGGAGAAGGCGTGAGCACCTCCGGGAGGAGCCCGAGGGAACCAGACCCTGCCCGGCTTCCATGTGCCTTGTCTCGGCGTTTGAGGATAGAACCGGCGCATGGGAAGCAGCCGGCACCGAAGACATGACGCCGAGGGGACCACGGCCCTTTTCCTCTGCCTCCGTACATAACGGGGAGCGGGATCGTACGCCCGGTCCCCGCCAAGAAAAGGAGGGTCCCCAAGCCTTACCCCAAACCACCCCAGGAAAACGAAAGTTACGCAAACTTACTGCCTCACTGCCCTCCGAAAGGAGCCCGTACCGGCCCAGCTGCCTTTATATAGTCCCTGGGCCCGCCCCCGTGCTGTGATTGGTCCGCCGAGACCTAGTGGGCGGAGTCCTCACGGCGGCGGAAGTGTGGCGGCCAGGAGCGTGCGGCTCTGTGCTCCGCCATGGGACCTCCGGGCGGCAAGATCAACCGGCCTCGAACGGTGATTGTGTGGGGTCGGGCCGCAGCTGTTTTCTGCTCAAGCGCCGTGGGGACGCTTCTCTCGCCCGAAAGGACGGAGTCGAAGGGGCCGGGGATGGCGGCCCTGCGCCGCGGTGCGCGGTCTCCGGCTGATGCCCGTTTTGTCTCCCGCAGGAATTGAAGAAGAAACTCTTCAAGCGCCGGCGGGTGTTGAACCGGGACCGCCGACTGAAGCGTCAGGTGGTCGGGGCCGTCATAGACGAAGGGCTGATCACGCGGCACCACCTCAAGAAGCGGGCGTGAGCACCACCTCCTTTCCCCCCTCCCGGGACCCTCCTCAGAAAGACCCCGGACTTTGCTTGGGCACCCACATTTAGGCAGGCAGCGTGGGTTGATCTTCATCCCGAAATTCGCCTTTCCACACACTTGTACGTTACTACTTGCTCTCTGGAGTCTGGAACCTTCGGGAATCCCAGCAGAGCTGTGCACCGCCTCACTTCCCAAAGGACAGTGTACACTCACGCAAATTTCATAACTTTACTTTTGCATTCAGACGAGTGCGTGTTAGCCGTCGAGTCTTCTCAAAAACACACAAGAAGTTGTTGCACACAAGTTCCAGAGCCCCCTGAACCTTGGGGAAGGGCCTCTGCAATTGGCGTTCGACATTCACTCATTAGTTTCTTCATTACATTCGAAAGCCTGCATGCACACCTACCATTAAATACTTCGTGTAAGACATTATCCTGAGATATGTGTTAAGATCGATTTATTTCTTTAAGGTTTATTTATTTCTATTGGAAAGGCAGATTTAGAGAGAGGAGAGACAGATCTTGCATTTGCTGGTTCATTCCCAGATGGCTGCAAGGGCCAGAGCTGAGCTGACATGCAGCCAGGAGCCCTCTTGGGGGGTTCTCCCACGTGGGTGCAGGGTCCTGCAGACTTGGACCATCCTGCACTGCTTTCCCAGGCCACAAGCATGGAGCTGGATGGGGAGTGTCCAGCACTTGAATCGGTGCCCAGATGCCATAGCATCCGTATGAGATTGCAGTGCTGCAGGGTGGTGGATTAGCCAGCTAGGCCATTGCACCAGCCCCTAGATTGATGTTGTTCAGTTACGCAAAAGTGCAAGTGTCGGAGGGATTTAACTCATGACCTTTGAAACGGTTGAGCGATTTGGATTTTCCCGTAGCCAGATCCGTAGGGTGATGTGACTTAGTGAAGGTGACCCAGGATCTCTCTGTCCTCCTTAGGTCCAGTACGCGGGCCAACATTACTCTGTCTGGGAAGAAGCGCCGGAAGCTCCTGCAGCAGATCCGGCTGGCCCAGAAGGAGAAGGCCACTATGGAAGGTGAAGTGGGCGCAGACACAAAGGGCAGGGAGCTGCATTCTGACTTTGTCTCATGCTTCCTTGTCCCTTTGTTTCAGTGGATGCCCCCTCCAAGCCAGCCAGGACCAGTGAGCCACAGCCCAGACGACCAAAGAAGACGAAAGCGCCCCAGGATGTAGACATGGAGGACGCAGAGAATGGCAGCTGAAGTCCTCTCCTCCTTCAGCAACATCTCCACTGCAACCGGAAGGACTCGGAGGACTTGGGAGAAAGCATTTCCACTTTGTACTCTTCCCAACTTCCTCTTGCATTGTTGGCCCTGGCCGCACCTCTCCTGGAGGGATGTGTGGGGCAGACAGGAGGGACCGCCAGCAGCCAATCCCATTTGTAATAAAGTGTGCTTGAACTCTTGACTAAGATGTGTGATGGTGGTGGGCCATGAGGTGAGGTCTGAGAGAGGAACGTCGAGAAGGAGCGTCCATGGAAGCTGCTCAAGCCAACGCAACAAGAGGCCAAGGTGTGTGGTAGTCCTGGCTCCCTAGGCAGGGGTACCCCAACTTTGCATTTTCCAACAAATTGAAGATTAGTGTAGCGTTAGAGGAGTTAGGGCTCCGGATATGAGGCCTGCCACTACTGCTGGACAGGCAGGTCATCTACAATTGCCTTTGTCTCCTTTATTGCATTCGGTTTTTTGTTTTTGTTTTTTTTTTACAGCTCTTCACATTTATTTATTTAAACATTAACATATATCATATATGTAACAGCTAAGTACAAACTTAACATCAATGTTTCTATACTGTTACATCTTGTTTAGCATTAACAGTCATAAATTGAAAAAGTTTTTTGGGGGAAGAAAATTAAGCCACAATTTAAACTTTGCAGTATATAGTGATTAAGCATGGTTTGACAGAACTTTGCATTTTAACAATTGAAGAATAGAGAAGTTTTAGGCAGGTGAGCAGGGAGATCCCCAACAACCCATTGAGTGAGGAAGAATTTAACTCTATATTCTGCCTAGTAAGGTCCAGGAGAAGCAAATCAATCGGGAGCTTGACCAGTAAGTACAGGCTGAGCGATGATAGGCTAATTGATCTTTTCCCTGGCTGTTCCAGACTTTCTATATCTCTATCTATGTCTCTCTCTGTCTATCTGAGAAGCCAGATGGGAAGCCTGATCAGTAAGGTACAAGCTGAGTGATTATCAACTAGCTGACCTTTAATATTAGTATCTGTCTATCCAAACTAATCTTGGGGCTCACAAGCAACCCTGATGGTCGGTGTAAGAGAGGCCTGGGAGCCAAGGCTAGAACTAGATAAGGACCAGAGAAAGCTCCTCTCCTGAGTCCAAAAGGAGATTTACAACCCTTTTATCTCTTGAGTACCACCTGGGGCTCCTGGCTGTAGTTCCCATGTCACCAGACCCTGTGAGAGGGTTTGGTGCTGCTACCATCATGTGGGAAAGTCAATAGGAAATGGGTGACCTCAGAGTTCTCAGCCTCCAAGGGCATTCATATACTCTGTGATCTCTGGCACTTGGGATACGGTTCTCGGTGTCCACACTGACAATCCTCCACAAAGCTTTTAGGATTCAAAAAAAAAAAAAAAAAAAACCCAACTTGGGACAGGATTGTAGCATAGTGGTAGTGGGTAAAGCCATCTACTGCAGTGTGGCCAACAACCCATCTGAGCTCTGGTTCACGTCCTGGCTGCTCCCATCTAGCTACTGGCCAACAGCCTGAGAAAACCGCATGGGCCCTGGCTGCACCCACATGGGAGACCCAGAGGAAGCTGCTGGCTTCTGCTTGGCCCAGCCCTAGCCAATGCAGCCATGTCAGTAATGAGCCAGCAGATGGAAGATTCCTCTGTTTCTCTACCTCTGCCTTTCAAATGAGAATTAATTAAAAAAAAAAAAAAAAGAGAGAGAGAGAGAGCTTACTGTGTCCTAGGCACTGTCCAAAGTTGAGTGTATGTCTGATTGGACTGGCAAAAGGGGAGGCCAAATGGAAATGAAATTAGAGAGGCAGGCAAGGACTAAATCGTTTTGTGCCAGTGGGGAATTAGCATTTTATCTAATTACAATGGATGTAAAATTGTGTTTCGGTTTGCATTTTCACTGTGGAAAATTTTCAACCACGTATAAAAGTAGAGAAAATACTGCTTTTCCTCTAGTGCCAACCCCACTCATTTTCCCAAACTTACATCGCCTCTACCACTATATCTAAAATAGACATTGCCATAAAATCTTTTGCAACGAAAAAAAGAAAAACATCGCCTTGCAGTGTCACTTAGCATTTTTTTTTTTATCTCTTCTCACTAGGTATCAATAATAGACAATTTCAGTGATGTTCTGTGCACCCCATACAGTTCTGAGTTCTTTGTGTCTATTACCGGATCATTAATCCACAATAATACCACGAGGCAGGCAGTACTGCACTGTGTCCCCTGGCAGACATGGAAGCCAAGGTCTAGTACAGTCATCTCAACGTCAGGGTTTGCATGGTGTCGGCTCCGTGTCCTTCCAACTGCATCTTGTCGCCTACGTCATTCAAAGAGTAGTTCCTATGTCTGGATCATCCGGATATTATGCTAAGTCCATTCCATACACGATCTCGAGTTATCTCCACCAGGAGTTGGTGGGGTTAGTTATCATGCTGTCTTCACAGAGAAAGGACGAAGCAGGTCCACAATGTGGAGCCATTAGCTCTGAGTTACACAGCTTAGCTCAGTCTGGCTCCTAAAGAAGTACCCTTCGGGCCCGGCACCGTGGCCTAGCAGCTAAAGTCCTGGCCTTGAACACACCGGGATCCCATATGGGTGCTGGTTCTAATCATGGCAGCTCCACTTCCCATCCAACTCCCTGCTTGTGGCCTGGGAAAGCAGTCGAGGACAGCCTAAAGCCTTGGGATTCTGCACCCATGTGGGAGACCTGGAAGAAGTTCCTGCCTCCTGCTTTGGATCAGTGCATAATATCGGCTGTTGCACTCACTTGGGGAGTGAGTCATCGGACGGAAGATCTTTCTCACTGTCTCTCCTTCTCTCTGTATAAATAAATCTTAAAAAAAAAAAAAGCACCCTTCAACAGTGACATCCTGGCGCTAGCGTGTTGGTGTAGTGACTTAAGCCACCATTTGGGAGCCTGCATATGATATCAGGGCATGTTCAAGTCGTGGCTGCTCTGCTTCCGAACCAGCTCCCTGCTAATGTGTCTGGGAAAGCAGCAGCCAATGGCCCAAGTACTTGCACCTCTGCCATCAGGGTATAAGATCCAGATGGAAATTCCAGGTTCCAGACTTTGATCAGAAATGTGGGGAGTGAGTCAACAGATGTACACTAAGTGCTATATACAGTGGAATAGCTAGAAGTTGACCTAGGAGGGCAGACTCAAATGAGGGCTTTTTGATGGTCTGTGTGCAGTTGTTAATGGTGTTAATTGAACTATCACTTACGGAGACTTCCTTCTGGGAGGACGGCTCTGGCCTTGCACAACTGGCGCTGGGTTTCCTATTTTTATTTATTTATTTATTGCTTCTTTTTATCTTCCAATTTTTTTTTTTTTGTCTTTTATGCTTCTCCTTGCCTTTTTAAATGTGAAGTTTAATTTTTCACACTGCGATTGCTGTTTGTTAAAATGTTTCCCAATGTTTTATTTATTAAAGCTCCTGAATGGACATGTGCATTTTTGGCGTTAGCAAAAATAATGAAACGTACTTGGGGTCTGCAAGGTGGCGGACTTGCGGGCGGGGAAGGCGGTGGCGTCATGAGCGGGGACGCCTTCCCGCTGTCATCATCGGCGCTATGCGGAACCAATGTCTGAGGGTTGCGCACAAGGCCGGATTGGTTTTCCTGGGAGGCCTCGCCGCAGGTTCCTTTCGAGTGTGCCGTCAGGGCGCATGCGCCGCCTGCGTCCCGTCGCTCCCGCCTCGGGCTCGCGCTAGGGCTCCGGGATGTCCGCGTTGTGCGACCCTCCCGGGGCCCCAGGGCCTCCCGGGCCGGCCCCGGCCACCCACGGTCCCGCGCCTCTCAGGTAGTCAGAGCCCCTGGTGGGTCGTCCCCCACCGCGCGGCCCCGCACCGATCCTCAGCCTCTTGGGCAGAAACCCGGCTCCCACCTCGAGAACTCGGCTCAGGGTTCTCAGCGATTCCGGCTCGGGTCCTCTCAGAACCCAGGGACTGCCTCCCCGAAACGCGGGGCTCCCGGGCCCGCCTCTCCCCGCACCCCGGAGCCCCGTCACCCCAGGCCTTGCTCTCCTAGCAGCCGGGGGTATCTGAACTCTTGGGAAGGAACGCAGCAGCCCTGCACCTTGTAGTCCCAGGGTCCCTGCAATCTCGTGCCCAGAAACCCTCGGAATGCTTCCTCTGCTCTTGCCCTTGACTTCTAACGTAGCCCCCCCCCTTGTCTTGGGTTGTGTTGTGTGTTTGTGTTGTGTGAGGAACTGGCTTCTTGTCTCCTCCCCTAACACTGGTTCCGGAATCCCAGAACCCTTATGTGTCAGGATTGTGAGAATTGAAAAACATTATTGACCCTGCCCCGTGCCTAGGGACGTGCTTATTCCCTGGCTTGTTGAGGCTGCTGGGAGGTTGGCGGTTGTGGAAGTGTGCGTCCTGAGGATGCTTGTGGAATATGGGGAAAACGTGTTGGGGGGAAGAGCCCCTAACGAGGAACTTGAAAGTTTGCTTCAAATGAGAGCAGATTCCAAGGTGCTTGTGGGGTTGGGGGACAGAAGGGGGGTGCAGTGAAGCTGGAAAGTTCTTTTCAAGGTGGATGTTGTGCAGACAGCAGCGCTTGCCAAGAACAAGCCTGGGAATGGGTCTTTACTCTCTTGGAAGGTAGAATCTGTTTGACCTTGATTTCCTGATCTGTAAAATGGGATCGATGATCCTTTGTTGAGTTGTTGTCAGAACTGAAATAATACTGAGGAAGTACTTAAGAGGGTTAGCATTTATGGAGTGGCTAATGGTAATGAACCAGGTTCTGAAATGATGAACATATTGACTCCTTTGGCCTTCTGAGCTAATGTAAACATTTATTTATGGTGATTTGAAAGGCATAGTGACAGCTCTGCCAGTTCACTCCTCAAGTGCCTGTAACAGCAGGGTTTGGACCAGACCCAAGCCTACATACTGGAACTCAGATCTGGTCTGCCATGTGGGTTCCAGGGACCTAGTCCTTGAGTCCCCACCGGCTGCTCCCAGAGTGAGTGTTGGTGGCAAGCCCAGTCAGGAGCAGAGCTGGCTTGAGCTCAGGGACTCTGATATGGGATGGGGGATCTCAAGTCATGTCTTAGTTGCTGTCCCAGATGGGGTACTTAAGTGCTTTATTATATATATATATATATATTTTTTTTTTTTCTTTCTTTCTGAGAATGGTCTGATTGTCCTTATTTTACACAGAAAGCCTGCCTGTTTAATGTGTCATCTAAGTCTGTTTCTTTTGTTGTCTTACAGTGCCCAGGAGCTGTCCCAGGAAATCAAGGCTTTTCTGACTGGTGTGGACCCTGTTCTGGGGCACCAGCTCTCGGCCCGGGAGCATGCGCGCTGTGGTCTCCTCCTGCTCCGCTCCTTGCCACCCGCTCGGGCCGCTGTGCTGGACCACTTGAGAGGTGTCTTTGATGAGAGTGTCCGGGCCCATCTGGCTGCCCTGGACGAGAGCCCTGTGGCTGGTCCACCTCACCTCCGCCCACCCGCACCCTCCCACGTCCCCGCTGGGGGACCTGGCCTAGAGGATGTGGTGCAGGAAGTGCAGCAGGTGCTGTCTGAGTTTATCCGGGCCAACCCGAAGGCCTGGGCACCTGTGATTAGTGCGTGGTCCATTGATCTCATGGGGCAGCTGAGCAGCACATACTCGGGCCAGCACCAGCGCGTGCCCCACGCCACTGGCTCTCTGAATGAACTGCTGCAGCTGTGGATGGGCTGCAGGGCCACACGCACACTAATGGACATCTATGTGCAGTGCCTCTCGGCTCTCATTGGGAGCTGTCCGGATGCGTGTGTGGATGCTCTGCTGGACACCTCCGTCCAGCATTCCCCACACTTTGACTGGGTTGTGGCACACATTGGTTCCTCCTTCCCTGGCACTATCATCTCCCGGGTGCTCTCCTGTGGCCTCAAGGACTTCTGTGTCCATGGTGGGGCTGGAGGTGGGGCTGCTGGGAGTGCTGGCAGCTCTTCCCAGCCTTCCTCCACAGACCCCTTCCCTGGATCTCCTGCCATCCCTGGGGAGAAACGGGTGCCCAAGATTGCGTCCGTTGTGGGCATCCTAGGGCACCTGGCCTCCCGCCACGGAGACAGCATCCGACGAGAGCTCCTGCGGATGTTCCATGATAGCCTGGCAGGGGCCTCGGGGGGACGGAGCGGGGACCCCTCTCTTCAGGCCACAGTTCCCTTCCTCTTGCAGCTGGCAGTTATGTCGCCCGCTTTGTTGGGCACGGTCTCTGGAGAGCTTGTGGACTGCCTCAAGCCGCCCACTGTGCTGAGTCAGCTACAGCAACACCTGCAGGGCTTTCCCCGAGAGGAGCTGGACAACATGCTAAACCTGGCTGTGCACCTGGTGAGCCAGGCCTCGGGGGCAGGTGCCTACCGCCTGCTGCAGTTCCTAGTAGACACAGCCATGCCCGCCTCAGTCATTACCACCCAAGGCCTGGCTGTGCCAGACACCGTGCGTGAGGCCTGCGACCGGCTGATCCAGCTGCTGCTACTGCACCTGCAAAAACTGGTCCATCACCGTGGAGGGTCTCCTGGAGAAGGGGTGCTGGGCCCACCCCCGCCTCCTCGCCCGGTGCCTTTTCTAGACGCATTAAGAAACCATGTCGGAGAGCTGTGTGGAGAGACATTACGACTAGAACGGAAACGCTTCCTCTGGCAGCACCAGCTCCTGGGCCTGCTGTCCGTCTATACCCGGCCAAGCTGTGGACCTGAGGCTTTGGGTCATCTCCTGAGCAGAGCCCGAAGCCCCGAAGAACTGAGTTTGGCCACCCAGTTATATGCAGGGCTGGTGGTCAGTCTCTCTGGCCTCTTGCCCCTGGCCTTCCGAAGCTGCCTGGCCCGAGTGCATGCGGGGACCTTACAACCTCCTTTCACAGCCCGCTTCCTGCGCAACCTAGCCCTGCTGGTGGGCTGGGAGCAGCAGGGCGGGGAGGGACCTGCCTCCCTCGGGGCTCGGTTTGGGGAGTCAGCCTCAGCTCACCTGTCTGACCTGGCTCCTCTCCTGCTACACCCTGAGGAGGAAGTAGCGGAAGCTGCTGCCTCCCTCCTAGCAATTTGTCCCTTTCCTCTGGAAGCCCTGTCCCCATCCCAACTCCTGGCACTGGTGAGGGCTGGGGTGCACCGCTTCTTTGCCTCTCTGAGGCTGCACGGCCCCCCAGGCGTGGCCACAGCCTCCCAGCTGCTCACTCGCCTCTCTCAGACCTCGGCGGCAGGGCTCAAGGCTGTCCTGCAGCTGCTAGTGGAGGGAGCCTTACATCGGGGCAACACGGAACTGTTTGGAGGGGAAATGGACGGGGACAGTGAGTCCCTCTCTGTGGTCTCCGCTCCTTTGGCTTCTGCCTCCCTGCTGGACACAAACCGGCGGCACACCGCAGCTGTGCCAGGTCCCGGAGGCATCTGGTCCGTTTTCCACGCTGGAGTCATCGGCCGGGGCTTGAAGCCTCCCAAGCTTGTGCAGTCCCGGAATCAGCAGGCAGTCATCTATAACACCCAGAGCCTCCTCAGCCTCCTGGTGCGCTGCTGCAGTTCCTCTGGGGGCACTGACTGTGGGGGATGCTGGGGGGCTCCCACCCTGAGCCCGGAGGCAGCCAAAGCAGTGGCAGTGACCTTGGTGGAGAGTGTGTGCCCAGACGCGGCTGGTGCAGAGCTGGCCTGGCCCCCTGAGGAGCATGCCCGGGCCACTGTGGAGCGGGATCTCCGGATTGGCCGGCGCTTCAGGGAACAGCCTCTGCTCTTTGAGCTGTTAAAGCTGGTCGCAGCTGCTCCTCCCGCCCTGTGCTACTGCTCCGTGCTGCTGCGGGGGCTGCTGGCTGCCCTCCTGGGTCACTGGGAAGCCTCTCGACACCCCGACACAACCCACTCGCCCTGGCACCTGGAGGCGTCCTGCACCCTGGTGGCTGTCATGGCTGAAGGCAGCCTCCTGCCCCCAGCGCTGGGTAACATGCACGAGGTATTTAGCCAGCTGGCACCTTTCGAAGTGCGCCTGTTGCTGCTCAGCGTCTGGGGCTTTCTTCGGGAGCACGGGCCCTTGCCCCAGAAGTTCATCTTCCAGTCTGAGCGTGGCCGCTTCATCCGGGACTTCTCCAGGGAGGGTGGGGGTGAGGGTGGCCCCCATCTAGCTGTCCTACACAGTGTCCTCCACCGCAACATCGACCGCCTGGGCCTTTTCTCTGGCCGTTTCCAAGCACCCTCGCCATCCACCCTCCTCCGACAGGGGACGTAGCCTCCCCAGTGCTCCAGAAGCGAGGGGAGATTGAACGGTGAGGGAAGGGACTGAGGCGCTACTGAACACGTCAAGGCTTCTCAGTTCTTGGCCTGAACGGAGCTGTCACGTTTCTCCCCTCCCCCACTCCCACCGGCTTTTTTTTTTTTTTTTCTAAATAAACATATGCGGAGTTGAAAACAACAGTCCAGTGCTTGTGTCTGATGCTGAGAGCGGGCGAAGGCGGACAGCACTCGCATCAGGACCTTCCCGCCCGGCGCCCCCAGGAGAGCTTAGGGCGCGCGCTCAGCCAATAGGGCCGTGGCCGGACCAATCCGGAGGCCGGAAGGGGCGGGCGCTCACCTACGTGGCTCCTACGCGTAGGGGGAGGGAAGGGCCGGGGTCAAGGAGCAAACCCGGCGCAAGATGGCGGCGGTAGCGGCAGTGGCGGCGCGGAGGAGGCGGTGAGGAGCCCGGACCCCTGGGGCGCGCCCGGGACATCCCCAGACCCCCCCCAGCCCTAGAACGCTCCTTCTTGAATGTTCTCCTGCCACCCGTAGCTTCGCCAGGGCCCACTGTCCCTTAGAAGTGGCTGCAGGCGTCTCCAAAAGCCTCCCTCCCTGTGCTACATCCGCGCGACGTTGGGGCCGTATCCTCAGGGGCTCCGGGCTCCGGGCCAGAGGCTCAAGAAGGCTTGCGCTGTGTGCTCTTCTTGGCCTTGGCTGCTCTCCCCGGGGGCTCGCGGCGATCAGCGTCCCGTCCCCTTCCTGCAGCGAGCGGCGCGGTGGTGGGGCGGGCAGTGAGATGTGGCCGCACCTGGGGCCAGCAGCTGCCCTGGGGTCTGTCCGCACTACCCTTCCCTTCCCCGCGGGGTCGGACTCTCCCCTGCCGCTGTCTCCTTCACGTGGGCACCTGCCGTGGCTAGTGAACTGTCCACGGTCGCTGGTCACGGCTAGGGTAGGGTCCAGTAAGTTCTCAGTCTACCTGAATGGTGTGGCTCACACGCGGCATGTGTAAAGGGTTTGGTCCACGCTTTCGAGTTCATTACTGAAACAACAACAACAACAAAAAAGGTTTTGTTGCACATCGTCGGAGCCACCCAGCGTTTAACAGGACCTAACGGAGGTTCTGGGAGGGAAGAGGCATGAACTTTCTGCAGCAGTGAAAGCATGAATCATAAACAGCCTTCTGGAAGTCTGTGATGTGAAACAATAAACAGGTGCAAATTGCCCTGCGGCTCATGGCCACTTTGGCTGCTAACCTTCTGCTCTGGGTGCTCAAGGCAGCCCCAAGTTCCTCGGGTGTCCCGACAGCTCAGAGCTCCAAGATCCTTTCGGAAATCCTGTCCGTGTTGGCTCCCCTCAAACCTGTTCTGTAGCAGTCCGGAGAGTATGTCTGTGTAACTCACTATACTTGTAACAGTGGATGCCTCTAGGCCTGGCCCTCACCTTACTGTGGAATTTTCTAGATCTATTTTTCTTGCCTGTTGTGCTGGTACTTATTTGCCATTGAGCCTGGTTAAGCCAGGGCCTTCGTCACTTTGCTGTCTGGCCTGATGTAGAGAGCTTGCCTTGCAAATTCTTCTGAAGCTGAAAGGCTCACTGTGTTCTCTGCTGAATTTTCTTTACCTTTTAGCTTTCAGTGGACACTGAGGCTGGTAATAGATGCAGTGTATAGTATTTGGTCCTGGCTTTAGCTGTCCTGTTGTAGGTTGCAAAGTTTTGTTGCTTAGAAGGGGCTTGTGTTCCTCCGTCTACCCAAGTTTTAATTTGGGAACACTTCTCAGGGGTGTGCTCCTGGATCACACATATCCAACTCCCTGGAAAAGCATGGAAAACGCAAATGTCCCCAAGAGTTAGCATCTTCATTTAATAAGCACCAGAGGGGACTCTTTTTTCTCCCCCAGATTTATTTATTTTTATTGGAAAGGCAGATATACAGAGAGGAGAGACAGAGAGGAAGATCTTTCTTCCGATGATTCACTCCCCAAGCAGCTGCAACAGCAGGAGCTGAGCCAGTCTGAGGCCAGGAGCCAGGAGCTTCTTCCAGGTCTCCCATGCAGGTGCAGGGTCCTAAGACTTTTTACCTTCCTTGATTGCTTTCCCAGTCCACAGGCAGGGAGCTGGATGGGAAGTGGGGCTGCCAGGGTTAGAACTGGCACCCATATGGGATCCCAACGCATTCAAGGCGAGGACTTTAGCTGCTGTGCTCTGGTGCCAGGCCCCAGAGGTGACTCTTAACAGGCACTAAGTATGTTCGCCTCTGTGTCATAATTCCTTATGAATGAATATATTCCTCCTATGAAGTCTGTCAGTCCCTGTCTTTCATTTGATAACATGTTGGAGAAGGGACAGTTTGTGAAGGTTACAAAAGGTGAGGCAGACTCAGTCCTGCTGCAAGTTGGGAGGTGTGTAAATCACCTCCCCAGGCCCCAGGGGGTATATCTGAACCCAGTACACTTTTCAGCCTGAGGTAATAATGGTGATAGTTTAGCCTCTTTTTTTTTTTTTCAAGGATTATTTTACATTTGAAGGAGGCAGAGGCTGCCTTTTGTCTGCTAGCTCAATGCCCACAACATTTGGGGCTGGGCCAGGCCAAATTCAGGGGGGGAAGGGGAGGGAGAAGAGGAGGGAAGGGAGGAGAAAAGAGAACCGAGATAAATGAATGTTCCATCTGCTGGTTCACTCCCCAAACGCCTGCAACGTTCCACGGCGCTGGCAGGCCAGGCACACGCCAGTAGCTGGGGCTCTGCCTAGCACTGCCACCTTGGTGGTTGCTGTTGATCCAAGTACTGGAGTCCACCTGTGCTGCCTTCTTAGACTCACAGGAGGCTGCATCTGAAGCAGAGGAGCCAGGACTCCACCTGCACTGCCAAGTGGGATGCGTTTGTCTTGAGCTGCGGGTTAAGCCCCTGCTCCCCAGCACACCCCTGGGCAGAGAAGTGGAGATGAGTGTGGAGCAGCAGGATCCCAAGGGTGTTCGGGAAGTTCAGACCCTGGGACATGGGCCCAGCAGGTTGGAGGTACATAGTTAACTGTGGTTCTCACCCAGTGCTGTACACAGCTTGCTTCTTTCTTTGCCTCTGTGCCCTGTGGTTGGTACCACCAATGTTTCCTTTGGGACTAGCTGTTATTACTTCTTCCCTCTGAGAGGCTGATGTAACCACAGTCAATACCAGGGCCACTGACAGGCAGAAATCCTGTCGGTGAGTGACTCGGTGCTCAGGCCTGACCCTTGGCCACATCCACCTTTACAGTTCAGTGTGACTCCATGCTTTTCTCTTTCCTGAGCTGGGCTAGGATGATGGCAGCAACTCTTCCCTTCTGAGAGTGGAGTCCTTCCTGACCGCTGCATTGACTGCCTTCCCGTCTCCTTTTTCTCCCCAGGTCTTGGGCAGGTTTAGTACTGGCTTGTTTAGGGGTCTGCCTGGGAGTTACCCTTGCTGTGGATAGAAGCAACTTTAAGACCTGTGAAGAAAGCTCCTTCTGCAAGTATGATATTTCTGGGGAGGAGGGGTTGAAAAGCACTCATGGAGGAGGGATCTGGCAGACGGAGTAGCCTGAGAACCCTGCCAGTGTTAGCGGAACCTTGGGACATAGGGGTGACTTATGTCCCAACCGCTCCACTTGGCAGGAGGCAGCGAAGCATTCGGCCAGGCCTCTCTCCATACCGAGCTTTGCTGGACACTCTTCAGCTTGGTCCTGATGCCCTCACGGTCCATCTGATCCACGAGGTCACCAAGGTCAGGGGAGACACGAAAAAGTCTGGTAGGGGCGGAGAAGTGGCTGATGGGTACTTCGGGAAGGGAGAACCTGTAGCCCACATCCTGTCCTGGCTTAACCTTGGGACTTGGTGAGTGAATTTCATGTCAGGTCCCTTAGGTAAAGAGCTCAAAGGAGGGACCCCTCAGGACTGAGTGGGTCCAGAGGGCATTTCAGAGTGCAGCCCTTCTTTCTCCAGGTAAATGCCTCTGTTCCTGCAGGTGGTACTGGTGCTGGAACTCCAGGGACTTGAAAAGAACATGACTCGCATCAGGATCGATGAGCTGCAGCCGCTGCGGCCCCGATACCGAGTGCCAGACGTCTTGGTGGCCGATCCTCCCACCGCTCGGTAAAAATGTTTTACTTTTTAATTTCTATTTATGTGGTGTGAGTGGTGGAGAAAGAACCCCAGACGTAAGGAAAGCTCCCGTCTGCTGTTTCACTCCCTCTAATGCCTGTGTCTCAGCTGGCTCCGAGGCTGGCACAGACTGGAGCCAGGATCCAGGAGCTCCACCGCGTGGGTGGTGGGCACTCAGCAATTGGAGTTACAGTGCTCCTGCAGCAGAGGGCTCAGTAAGGGCAGGGAGTGTTGAGCCCCAGTACCCAGGCATGGGATGCTGCTGTCTTCACTCGGCTAAATGCCTGCTCTGGCTTTGTGAAGTTTTCCTGAGAAACATACCCATCCCTGTTTCCCTTTTCTTCTGATGCACTTTTTTTTTTTTAAAGATTTATTTATTTTTATTGGAAAGACATTTATAGAGAAAAGGAGATGCAGAGAAAAATATTTAGTCCCCTGGTTCACTTTCCAAGCTGCTGCAATGGCCAGAGTTGAGCTGATTTGAAGCCAGAAGTTTCTTCCAGGTCTCCCCAGCAGGTGCAAGGTCCTAAGGCTTTGGACCGTCCTCAGCTGCTTTCCTGGGCCACAAGCAGGGAGCTGGATGGGAAATAGAGCAGCTGGGATTGGAACTGGCACTCATATGAGATCCTGATGCATTAAATGCAAAGACTAGCCACTAGGCTACCACGCAGGGCACAGTGTACTTTTTCTTTTTTTATTAAGGTGTACATATTTTTGCTGGAGAGGCAGATTTATGGAGAGAAGGAGATGTAGAAAGATCTTCTGGGGGCCTGGCGTGGTAGACTAGTGACTAAAGTACTCGTCTTGAATGCACCTGGATCCCATATGGGCGCCGGTTCGAATTCCAGCAGCCCCACTTCCTATCCAACTCCCTGCTTGTGACCTGGGAAAGCAGTGGAGGACAGTCTAAAGCCTTGGGATTCTGCATCCATGTGGGAGACCTGGAAGAAGTTCCTGGATACTGGCTTCGGATCAGCGCAGCTCCGGCCGTTGAGGTGACTTGGGGAGTGAATCATCGGAAGGAAGATCTTCCTCTCTGTCTCTCTTCCTCTCTTTTTTTTATCTGACTTTGGGATAAAAATTTAGAAAAAAAAAAAAAGGATCTTCTGTCTGCTGGTTCATTCCCCAGGTTGCTGCGATGGCCAGAGTTAAGCTGATCGGAAGCCAGGAGCTAGGAGCTTCTTCCAGCTCTCCGCACAGGTTCAGGGTCCCAAGGCTCTGGACCAGCTTCATCAGCTTCCCCAGGCTACAGGCAGGGAGCTGGATGGGAAAGTGGAGCAGCTGGGATATGAACCAGTGGTCATGGGATCCTGGCATATGCAAGGCAAGGATTTAGCCACCAGGCTTCCTGCTGGGCCCTGTTCTGTTCTTTTCTGTTCTTTCTTTTTCTTTACCTTTTTTTAGCTGGCTGTCTTCCCACTTGATGATCATAGCTGAGTAAGCATCTCACCCTCTCCCAGCCTTTCCCCCTGCCTTCCTCTGTTTTACTTCCCTTTGGTTTGCTCTTGGCCTTCATGTGTTTGGCCAACAGTATTGCTTTCCCTTCTGTGCCAGGCCTTGGCTGGGTGCTGGAGTTGAAAGAGGAGATAAGGCACAGCTGTGGCCTTCCAGGAATGCAGTACGTCCCCAGTTCGTTCAGTAGTGCTTCCCTGTTGTTCTTTTCTCTCTTTCCTCCTCTAGTCTAGGATTCCTCTGTCTTGAATGGTTCTCAGTTCTCAGGTGGGTCCCAGGTTGGGTCTGGGCCAGACAGAAGCCAGAGTGTGAGCTCCATCGGGCTCCCACTTGAGTGCCAGGGCTGGGCACTAGGGCCATCTTCTGCTTTCCCACGTACATTAGCAGGGAGCTAAATTGTAAATACAGCAGCAGGGACTTGAGGCGGATGCTAAGGTTACCGACAGCAGCTTAAAACTGTGTGCTAATGCTTCATCTACTAGCTAACATAATAAACCCCGTGCCCTATCAACCCTGTGCATTTTTCCCAGCTTAGTCATCCGCTGGCTACTATCACTGACTCTGCAAGAGGTGATTGCTGCTTCTGAAGTTTGTCCTTCCTTTGTGTTCTTAGTTCTTGCAGTTATATTGTGCATCTATGTGGGTACATGCTGTGGTTGTGTCTGTGCAGTAAACTGCTTTTCTTTGAGATGAAACAGGCAGATCTTGGTATATGTGATGGTCTGGAATGTTCTTTTTTTATATCACTGTTCTGTTGCAGTATTGCTGGTTCATTCGTTTTTACTGCAGTGCAGTGTCACATGTGGGAGCACAGTCCAGCTTCTGTGAGCATTTCCACATCATTCTTACCCGTGACCCCTGCCTGTTGTTCTTGTGTAGGACTTTCTCTGTGGTCTATGAATAGAAGAGGCAATGTAGTAGAGCATAGGGATGATCAACTGTTTAAGATAAAACCTAAGAGGTTTACTGACTCCCGCTCACAGTTACAGGGCTCATGGAATTGCTCAGTGGCTAAGCCCTCGCCTCGCAAGTGCTGGGATCCCATATAGGTACTTGTCAATGTCCCAGCTGCTCCACTTCCTTTTTTTTTTTTTAATTTATTTATTGTTTGTTGGAAAGTCAGGTTTACAGAGGAGGAAAGACAGAAAGATCTTCCATCCGCTGGTTCACTCTCCAAGTGACTGCAGTGGCTGGAGCTGAGCCAATCCAAAGCCAAGAGCCAGGAGCTTCTTCCAGGTATCCCACGAGGATGCAGGGCCCCAAGGCTTTGGTCCATCCTCTACTGCTTTCCCTGTTCATAAACAGGGAGCTGGATGGGAAATGGAGCATCTGGGACACGAAGCAGCACTGATATGGGATGCTGACATTGCAAGGCGGAGGATTAGCTAGTTGAGCCATTGCTCCTGCCCCTGGACTTAAATTATTTGTCAGTAAGATGGTTGTAAAACACCACATGTTGGTCTTTGTTTAGTTGTCCATGCTTCCAAGTTAATTAGTGAGTTGAGTGTTGTTTCTGGTGTGCTATTCCTTGAGCTGATAATTCACAACTTTTCTGTGTTCTTCAATAGTGTTTGACTGTTACAGACCTCATTGAATAGTCTAAATACTGACTGTCACTTTTTTGTGTTGTTGCTCTCTTTCCAGAATCTAGCTTATCTCTTTTCTTTCCTAACTGTGTCTCAGAAACCTTTTGGGGCAGGGTTTGGTGATGCGTGGAGTTGAGCTGCCGTTTGGAGCCTGGGGTTGAGTCCTGCTAATGTGCCTGCGAGGCGGCGAGTAACGGTCGAAGTGCTCCAGTTCCTGCCAGCTGTGCATGAGACCAGGATGGAGTTCCTGACTCCTGGCTTCAGCACTGAAGCGAACAGGGATTGGAAGAACTATCTGTCTCTCTTCCTTTCTTCCTCTTCCTCCTTCCCTGCCACCCACTTGGCATTTCAAATAAACCATTACATTACAGAAATATATTAAAAACTTTGTATTGCAGAATGGCTTTAGAGTTGTAAGAAAGTTCCAGTATTCTGATAGTTCCTATTCCCATGTCTCCTGCACCCAGTTTCCCTTGTAGTTCATTTTACCTGATGAATTCAAAATGCGATTTATTTCTCTTTACTTGAAGAAGATTAACAAAGAGAAGGAGAGACAGAAAAAGATCTGTCTGCTGGTTCACTCCTCAGCTGGCCTCCATGGCCAGCACTGCTAATCTGGACCCAGGAGCCTTTCAGGGTCTCCCACATGGGTGCAGGGGTCCAAGGGCCTGAATCATCTGCTGCTGCCTTCCCAGGCCATAAGTAGGGAGCCAGATTGGAAGTGGACCAGCCGAGACGTGAACTGGCACCCATATGTGTTCCTGGTGCTTAACAGGTAGAAGATGACCCTGTTGAGCCATGGCACCAGCCCCAATAGGAGAGCTTCCTCTGGGTCTCCCATGTGGGTGCAGGGTCCCAGGGCATTGGCCATACTCTGCTGCTCTCAGGCCACAAGCAGGGAGCTGGATGGGAGGTGGAGCAGCCGGTACATGAACTGGCACCCATATGGGATGCTAGCACATGGAAGGCGAAGATTTAGTTGTTGGGCCACTGCACTGGACCCAGAAATTCTTATTTTTAATGCTGTGGATGTATTCATTTTTATATAATATTATTTCAATGTCAGAAAAGTATTTTCTTGTAAAATTTTTATTGTGAAATCATGATCTTTCTGGACTCAATATGTACATCCGATATGAGGTAGGAATGTGACACTGTTGTTTTCCTATATAGGAAGTCGGTTTTTTTTTTTCATGTTCCACTAGTCTATTTTCTCATGATTGCTATCCCACCTTGTAATGTCAGAGTTCTAAGTATGATTGGGTCTTTATTTGGGTCTTGCCCTGGTCAGTGTGTACTCATGACTCCTTGCAAGTCCTGCTGAGCTGTTGTGATTGTATCCCTCCCTTCCTTAGGCTTTCTGTCTCTGGCCGAGACGACAATAGCGTGGAGCTAACGGTGGCTGAGGGACCCTACAAAATCATCTTGACGGCACAGCCATTCCGCCTCGACCTGCTGGAGGACCGCGTCCTTCTGCTCAGTGTCAATGCCCGAGGACTCCTGGGCTTTGAGCACCAGAGGACCCGCAGGGTCCCGTGAGTACTGCAGTTAGGTCTACAGAGAACCTAGCAGGGAAGGGCCAGGGGACGTTTAGGGGTCTGATGCTCAAGTGCCTGGGAGTGTGCAGGGTGGGGCTGCCAAGTGGGAGGAGCTGTTTAGGGAGGGCAGGAATCCAAGCTGGGGCAGTTTTCTGCATGTCCTGTGCAGGCCAGGAGACGGTCGCTTGGTCCCTGTGCTGTACCCTGGGCACCTTCTCTGGGAGTCCTGCCTGGGTCTGCCTCTCCCTCTTCCCCTTCTCACATCATCACATTTCCCAAATTTATTTTCTTTCTTTTTTTTTTTTTTTTTTTTTAGTTTTTGGTTTCTTTCCCCCCATCTCTGGAAGTTTGTCTACTGAAACTCACTTTTATGTTTCTGTTTTTGTTGGTTTTGTGCCTCCTTTTCCCCTTCCCTGCCCATCTCCTGCCCCAGTGTCTCGGATAGAGTTAGTGTGTCGCTCGGTAGCATGTGGGATAAGATCAAGAACCTTTTCTCTAGGTAAATCCATTTGGCTGTTGGTACTGTATCTGTTCCTGTGCCCTCACCCACCCTTCACTCTGGCCCTCAGGGGCATGTGCCCGAGATCCTTTCCTGCCCTCTTCACTCACCCCCTTTCTCAACTCTGTAGTGTCTGAGTCCCTTGGTGCCCTGGTACCTGGGTGCCCTAGCTGGCAGCCCCCTGGGAAAAACAAGATGAAGTGCTTGAAGGTGCCTGACTGATGCTGCCCAAACCTGGGGTTCCTGGCCTCCTGCCAGGGTGTGCCTAAGGGTCTGGGCAGAGCTGCTTTCCAGCTGCCCCTGAAAGCATCGTTTGGCAGAACCCTTGAAGTCCTTGTGCACAGCCGAGGGACTTGCTATGCTATCACCTAGCCTTTGCAAACCCCTGGTTGAGCTAGGAGGCTGAGGCCCATTGAGGGCACTCAGGGCCAACACCATGACCAACATTCAGAGCCCAGACCTCTGAGCTGCTCTGCCTGTCCCTTCTAGAATGCCGGCGGAAGCTGGGGAATTAGGGCCTTTGTGTGAAAGGGTCTTCCTAGGTGGCATTTATTCCTCATTTCCTTTTCTTCATCCCTCCACCTCTGCCCCTCACCTCTTGTGAACCTGCCTGCTCACTGGGGGTCCGTCTCCAAGCTTTAATGTTCAATCCCTTCCTCCATTGCTTTCGTTCCTTTGGACCCTTGGCTCTCTATTCCCCCACCCCTCCTTCCACTAGCCCCTCGTCCCTGCCCCCTCTGGATTGGAGCAGACAGCTCTCCTACCTTCCAGGCAAGGATCAAAAGACCCAGCTGAGGGCGATGAGGCCCAGCCCGAGGAAATGGCTGAGGATGGTGACCAGGCAAGTAGGAGGGTGTGTGTGGTTGGAGGATGCTGCTGGCTGGGAGGCTGGAGCTTAGTGTTGCCCTCAGGGATGGCGTGTGGAAGATGAGAGGGCCAGAGAGAACTGGTTATGATTGGGCAGTGGTTCACTTTCCTCCTTACAGCCAGAGGAGACCCAGGGGAATGCAGAGAAAGATGAGCCAGGAGCCTGGGAAGAGACATTCAAAACTCACGCTGACAGCAAGCCACATGGTGAGGGGCTGGGAGAGCTGAGGGCATGGGGGTCCTTTGCCGAGCCAAGGCCCTGGAGCTCATCTTTTGTTTTCTTCCAGGCCCCACGTCTGTGGGTTTGGACTTCTCTCTGCCAGGCATGGAACATGTGTACGGGATCCCTGAGCATGCAGAGAGCCTGAGGCTAAAGGTCACAGAGTGAGTTCCATGGTGACGTCAGAGTCTGGGGAAAGAGGACAGGAGGGAGTTAGGGTTGGGGGAGAGGTGGGTGCAAACTGAACGCTCAGACAGCCCTGGATCCCTGCCTGTACCTGACCTCCCTCTGTTGAGCAGATGCCCTCTGAGGAAGGGCAGACAGGCAGGCTGCTCCCAGGGATGTCATGGCCCATATCAGAGTGCAGGTTTGAGCCTGAGGCCTGGCTCCTGGTGCCGCGGATCTGATGTGCTCAGCAGGTGGTACTGATGGTCCAGATATGTGTGTTATTGCCAGCTGTGTGGGAGACTGACGTGGAATTCCAGATTTCCAGCCTTGGCTGTTGCGAGTACTTGGGGAGTGAATCAGCAGAGGGAAGATATCCCTGTTAACCCCCCCTCTCTGTTCCATTGACTTTCAAGTGAAGGAAGGAAGGAAAGAATGAATCAAATAAATACATGCTTTAAGCTTTTTCTTTTTCTTTTTTTTTTAAAAGATTTATTTTTATTATTTTTTTATTGGAAAGGCGGATATACAGAGAGGAGAGACAGAGAGGAAGATCTTCCGTCCGATGATTCACTCCCCAAGTGAGCGCAACGGCCGATGCTATGCCGGTCCGAAGCCAGGAGCCTCTTCCGGGTCTCCCACACGGGTGCAGGGTCCCAAAGCCTTGGGCCGTCCTCAACTGCTTTCCCGGGCCACAGGCAGGGAGCTGGAAGGGAAGCGGGGCTGCCGGGATTAGAACTGGCGCCTATATGGGATCCCGGGCGTGCAAGGCGAGGACTTAACCACTTGTGCCACCGCGCCGGGCCTTCTTTTTTTTTTTTTTTTTTTTTAAAGATTTATTTATTTTTATTGGAAAGACAGATATACAGAGAGGAGGAGAGACAGGAAGATCCTCTGTCCGATGTTTCACTCCCCAAGTGGCCGCAACAGCCGGAATTGAGCCAATCCAAAGCCAGGAGCTTCTTCTGGGCCTCCCATACGGGTGCAGGGTCCCAAAGCCCTGGGCGGTCCTTGACTGCCTTCCTGTGCCACAGGCAGGGAGTTGGAAGGGAAGCAGGGCCGCCAGGATTAGAACCGGTGTCCATATGGGATCCCGGCACGTTCAAGGCGAGGATCCCAACTGCTATGGTATCATACTGGGCCCAGCTTTAAGCTTTTTTAAAAAAGGTTAAAAGGAAGGGCAGTGGAGCCAATTCTTAGTATATTGCTGGATCTGTGGGGTTGGGGTTGTGTGTTCCATAAATGGGGCCCGCTGTTCCCCTATGTTTGTCTGTCTGCAGAGATGGGGAGCCGTATCGCCTCTACAATTTGGATGTGTTCCAGTATGAACTGTACAACCCCATGGCCCTCTATGGGTCTGTGCCTGTGCTGCTGGCCCACAACGCCCATCGTGACTTGGGCATCTTCTGGCTTAATGCGGCAGAGACCTGGGTTGACATATCCTCCAACACTGCAGGGAAGGTGCGAGCGTGGGGCTCTGGGGCTGGAGGGAACCTGCCGGGCCCTGAGGCTGAGGAGTGCGCCAAGTGCACCAGCTTTGAGGAGGCTACTGGGGCAAGTGTTGTAGACTGAGTGAGAGTGGGCAGGATTACAGTTTGCGTCCCATGTAGCCCAGGGAACGGCATTGCCCTTTCCAGCTGAGGGAAATCCCTTCTTGTCAGTGTATTGTGTGCTGGGCACTCATACAGATGCTGGAGAGGTCGAGCTGAGCTTGATGAGTCCTTACTCGCAGGGTATAGGGAAGGTAGAAGGAGATCAGGGCTGTAGGTGTCAGCAAAGAAATGACGGTCTCACATGGTAGGGGGGTGCTGCTGAGATCGGTTGGGAGGGCTTCGCCGAGGACGGGACCTTCCATCCCAGACCAGAATGAATCGTTGGGAGTTAGCCGGGTCAGCACTGTGAAGAGAAGTGCGGAGTGTATCTTGCTTTCGGGAAGTGAGCAGGCAGGTGTTCCATGTCTCTTGGATCCCTGTGCAGACCTTGTTTGGGAAGATGATGGACTACCTGCAGGGCTCTGGGGAGACACCGCAGACCGATGTCCGTTGGATGTCAGAGAGTGGAATTATCGATGTCTTCCTGATGCTCGGACCTTCCGTCTTGGATGTCTTTCGGCAGTATGCTAGTCTCACAGGTACCTAATGTCCTCAGTCTGTCGGCGGCCTCATTCTTCTGCCTGACTTAAGAGGCTTGTTGTGCACATTTTGAGAAGTTCTGCGCCTCCCCCAGCCCATTTGCCCTTTGCCCTGAGGCCTCCCTCAATTTCTGGGTGTCCCCCGTCGGCCCCAATGTGACCCTGTCCCTCAATGAACCTGCAGGCACCCAGGCATTGCCCCCGCTCTTCTCCCTGGGCTACCACCAGAGCCGATGGAACTACCGGGATGAAGCTGACGTACTGGAAGTGGACCAGGGCTTTGATGATCACAACATGCCTTGTGACGTCATCTGGCTGGACATTGAACATGCTGACGGCAAGCGGTATTTCACCTGGGACCCCAGCCGGTTCCCGCAGCCTCTCACCATGCTGCAGCATTTGGCCTCCAAGAGGCGGAAGGTAAAAGGGCTAAAGCCATGGTTGATCTTGAGAAAGGCTGAGGCAGAAGCCCTGGAGAGCTGTAACCACCCTGTTCTTTCCTCCAGCTGGTGGCCATCGTAGACCCCCACATCAAGGTGGACTCTAGCTACAGAGTGCATGAAGAACTGCGGAACCAGGGGCTATACATTAAAACTCGAGATGGTTCTGACTATGAGGGCTGGTGCTGGCCAGGTAGGCAAGCCCTGAAGGGAGGGAGACACTACTTGGGGGCGAGGCAGGTGGAGTGGCAGCTCTTGTCCTGTGGGTTGGCAGCCACCTTTACCATCTCCTAGGCTCAGCTGGTTATCCTGACTTCACTAATCCCATGATGAGGACCTGGTGGGCCCACATGTTCAACTTCGACAATTATGAAGTAAGAAAGGCCTCTTCAGATCAGTCTCCTTGGCAGCCCCCGGTTTTGCTCGGTTGTCTGTAACATCCCAGAGACGAGAGCCCTCTGTTGTGACAAAGCCTGTCCCCCTGTGTCCCCAGGGCTCAGCTCCTAACCTCTACATCTGGAATGACATGAATGAGCCATCAGTGTTCAACGGTCCAGAGGTCACCATGCTCAAGGACGCCCAGCATCACGGAGGCTGGGAGCACCGGGACGTCCACAATCTCTATGGCTTCTACGTGGTAAGGCGCTGAGAGGAGAGAGGTGGTGGAAAGGGCCATAAGTGGATCAGAGGCTAAGGTCCTGGGCCCTGGGAACATGACAGGTGTCTTTGCTCCTCACTGGCTTTTCTCTCTTCTCCCCTCCCAGCACATGGCAACGGCTGATGGGCTCATACTGCGTTCCGGGGGCGTAGAACGCCCCTTTGTCCTAAGCAGGGCTTTCTTCGCTGGCTCCCAGCGCTTTGGTAAGATCTGGAGAGCAAGGCTGTGAAGGGCAATGGGTGGGAGCCGTGAGCTCAGGCCTGGCTTTCTGCCCCTCCTCAGAGCTGTACCTCCCACGCGGGGCCTTGAAGGGAGCACGCGGGGGAGATAAGGTCCTGTGCAGATTCTCTTGTAAACGCTGACACCTTCAGCAGAGTTCTACAGGCAGGACTGAGTTCCCGCCCTGTGCAGGCCACCCACCTCTTGCGTTCCACAGGCGCAGTGTGGACAGGGGACAACACTGCAGAGTGGGACCACTTGAAGATTACGATCCCCATGTGTCTCAGCTTGGGGCTGGTGGGACTTACCTTCTGTGGCGGTAGGAGTTGCAGGAATTCAGGGGGTTGGGTGGGTGGGACAGGGGCAGAGTGGAGGGCCTTGGAAAGCTCCTCAGTGTCCTGAGTCATCTGCTCTTTTGATGCGTTTTCTTTCTCCCCTCTCCCAGCGGATGTGGGTGGCTTCTTCAAAAATTCTGAGCCAGAGCTGCTTGTACGCTGGTACCAGATGGGTGCGTACCAGCCATTCTTCCGTGCACATGCCCACCTGGACACGGGGCGGCGAGAGCCATGGCTGTTATCCTCTCAGCACCAGGACATAATCCGGGATGCCCTGGGCCAGCGGTACTCCCTACTGCCTTTCTGGTATACCCTGTTCTATCAGGCCCACCGTGAAGGGGTTCCTGTCATGAGGTAAGTGACATCCGGTAGGTCTGTGCAGAATGGGCCGAGGTGGCTGTGGGCAGCGGTGAGGGGGCCGCATCTGTGGGCCTCTCCACCAGCCAGGCCATCGTGAAAGAAGGAATCTGGTTTGAAGATTAAGTGTGAAGGGAAGCATAATAGGATTAAACAGTCAAGTTGGAAAGAAACATTGATGACAAAAATAAAACTGAGTAATGGAATTAGGAGAATCCACAAGGACTATGATCCTGATCTTTGTGATCTGGAGGAAGAACATTCTAAGCTGAGGAGATCACAGATGCCAGAGGTGTGGAGGGCACTTTGGTTTGTTCCGTTCCAGGATTAGAAACAAGCCAGCCGGTGATCTCATCCTGGGGATCCCGCAGGCCATGCCTCTGCACAGAAAGTCTGTAGGAAGACTGCTGTGCAGAGAGTAGAGTTAGGGAGTTAAATGGCCTGGCCAAGATGGTCTTGCATAGCTGAGCCCTGACTGGCTGCAAACTCCTGGGTCTTAAAAGTTAATGATATGAAACAGCTCTTACGTATGGTGTTTCATTCTCCCAAATGTCCACAATAGTCAGTACTGTACCAGGCTGAAGCCAGGAGCTGGGAACTCAGATTGAGCTTCCTCCATGGGAGACGGGGGCCCAGCTCCCTGAGCCCATCGCGCGGCGTCTCTTAAGGCACACCTTAGGAGTAAGCCGGAGTGGGGGTGAGGTCAGGACTTGAACGCAGGCACTCTGATGTGGACATGTTAAGTGATGTCTTAACACCTAACTACTAGGCCCAGTGGCCCACTCTCCATGCTGGTTCTCCCCTCCCTGCACCCCTCCTTTTAAGATTCATTTATTTGAAAGGCAGAGTTGCAGAGAACAAGGGAAATGGGGTGAGAAAGAGAGAGCAAGAGCTCTTTCATCCATGGGGTCACTGTCCAAATGGCTGCAGTGGCTGGAGCTAGGCCAGGCCAAGGCTCTAAGCCTGGAACTCCCCCGTCTATATCCCAGATGGGCACAGGGGCTCATGACCAGGCTCCTCCTCGCCTGCTTTCCCAGATGAGCTGGATTGGAAGTGGAGCACCTGGGACTCAAAGCAGCATCTACATGGGCTGTGCAATCGGTTGGCTGAGCCCCCAGTGCTGCTGATTTCACTGATTCTTGCAAGAGCATCTGTGACATCTTGTAACACGGCAGATGTCTTCCTTTGTCACTCCCTCCTAGGCCCATGTGGGTGCACTACCCTCAGGATGTGACCACCTTCAGTGTAGACGATCAGTTCCTACTTGGTGAGAAAGGGGAGAATGAATCGGCGATGTTTGTGGGAGCTGGGGAGGAGTCCTGTGCAGCGGGTGGTTCAGAAGGACAGGTGGTCTCTGCCCAGTTCAGAGTGGATTCTGATGTGTTTTAGGGGATGCACTGCTGGTTCACCCTGTGTCTGACCCTGGGGCCCACGGCGTGCAGGTCTATCTGCCTGGCCAAGGGGAGGTGAGTTAAGGGGAGTAGTGGTAAAGATGGCGGACACTAAAGGAGACCACAGGATGGGAACTTGTGTACATCGAACGACTGAGTGCCATACTCTCCTGTCTCCTGCAGGTGTGGTATGATGTTCAAAGCTACCAGAAGCATCATGGTCCCCAGACCCTGTACCTGCCCGTGACCCTAAGCACTGTGAGTATGCCTGGTCCGGCTGCTCACTTCATCTGCCTGTAGATGGGGAAAGAGGTGCTTTGGGATCCAGTACCTGTGTGGACACACAGCTGGGCAAGTGTAAAAGATGCAGTGAGGTTCAAGTTTACATCAGGGAGCTTGATGGCAGCTCTGCTCGTGCCCTAGGTTCCTGTGTTCCAGCGTGGAGGGACAATCGTGCCTCGGTGGATGCGTGTGCGGCGTTCTTCAGACTGCATGAAGGACGACCCCATCACCCTCTTTGTTGCACTCAGCCCACAGGTGAGTCCCCAGGCAGGGTGCCGTCTTGTCCCAGGGCATGGGCCCTTGGCATGCTCTGGGGTTGAGGCACTTACCGCCCTACTCGTGTTCAGGGTACTGCCCAAGGAGAGCTCTTTTTGGATGATGGGCACACCTTCAACTATCAGACTCGCCATGAGTTCCTGCTGCGTCGGTTCACGTTTTCTGGCAACACCCTTGTTTCCAGGTAATGGGGTACCCCCTTAGGGGGTGCTGGGCCCTGAAATAAACACAGTTCACTGTTCTCTTTTCTTGCCTCTTGACCTTGCTTTGGGGCTCTCCTTCCTTCTGCCTTGACAAATTATCCCTAGTAAGCACCTGCTTTGCCACCTGCAGCTCAGCAGATTCCAAAGGCCACTTTGAAACTCCAATCTGGATTGAACGTGTGGTAATCATGGGGGCTGGAAAACCAGCAGCTGTGGTACTCCAAACCAAAGGTGAGTGCCTGCCCCACCTGCCTGGCTAGGCACAGAGGGGAGGCAGCAGCAGGTGGGATGCCTGCGCTGTCACGGTGATAATGGTGCTCCTCTCCCTCCCCCAGGAGCTCCTGAAAGCCGCCTAGCCTTCCAGCACGACCCCGAGACCTCTGTGTTGGTCCTGCGCAAACCTGGCGTGAACGTGGCATCTGACTGGAGCATTTCCCTGCGATAACCCTAGGGCTGTTCTGGGTGGGGGAAGGGTACAGTGGTGGGGAGAGGTCTCCTTTCTCCTGCCATCAAGTTTGACCCTCCCCAGACTTGTCCTTTCTTATTCTCAAGAGCCAGATTCTGCCAACATCTGGGCAGGATGAGAGGTTTGTCCCTGGTCTCCTCTCTCCTGAGCTCTCCCAGCCTTTCCCTTTGTCTGTGCCCTCCCCTCAGCCTCCTGTTGCTCTCACTGGAACACATCCTCTTAGGAAGATGTGAGGACCACAGGGCCCTTGCCTTCCCTCCTCGGAGCCCTGACCTCCCGCGGCCCTGATCCATTCATGCTTCTTGTGTTGATACCATTTCCTGAAAGAAGAGCAAGAAGCTCCTGTCTTGCCCTTCTCTTCCCACCAGACTGCCTTCCTCTCTTGATTTCTTCCTGACTCCACCCTGTCAGCCGTCCGTGTCTGATGCCCCACTGATACACTGGGACCACCCTTGACCTGTAAGGGATGAATGGATTAAAGGAGTGAGGTTGCTGGAGAACACCCTCTTTTCTCCCATCCCGACCTTTCCCTTTCCCCAATTCCTGCTGGTCTACCTCCCCTGCCCCTTGGGGGAAAAAGTTGCTATGCCTCCTTAACAGGGGGTGGGCGTTAAACCTTTTTTGCCCCCTTGTCCCTCTGTGGGGCATTCAAGATGGAGAAATCAGCTGTGGTTTCCTTGAATCACGAACACCTGTATTTATTGCTGGGAAAAGGCTGAGGGTTGGGGAGGGGAATGATCATGTGTGCCCATGGCTGGCCCAAAGCCCTGGGATGGGGAGGGAGGACCAATTGGGACTGGGGGTAAAACATTTGTGGGGATTCTTTTTACTTCTTGGCCCCCAGATATGACAGGTTTTGATAAAAGGAGAAACAATAAAGAAACCATAAGTAACTGTCGAGTGTCTGAATTCTAGTTCTAGCCTGAGCCAAGGGCCTGACATCTTGACTTAGCAGGCACCTTGTGCTTAGCAGGCACAGGTGGCTTAAGATGCCGCTCCAGGGTGGCTACATCCCCTGGGCGCTCGGGAGTTCTGGCTGCCCTACTTGGGATCAGCCTCCTGTGGAAAGAGCATCCTGGGAAGCAGCAGATGAGACTGAGACCCGGATGGAGCACCTGGCTCCTGGCTCTGGCCCAGTGCCTCGGCCCTGGCATTGTGGCTACTTAGGGAGTGAACCAGCAAGTGGGAGATTGTTTCTGCCTTTCAAATAAAGGCCTGCCTCAGCTTGCTGTGTGTTTTTTGTTTGCTTGCTTTAGTCGTTTTTTTGTCAGCTTGCTGGTTGTTAATGTCCACAGCAGAGCCCACAAGGTCATAGGGTTTGAGTAGGCCCAATTAGTCAGAGATGCTTTGCAGGTGAGGAAGTCCCTGTAGGACAGAAACGCCAGTCAAGAGTCAGGTGTTAGCACCCTGAAGGCTGCTGCTCCAGCTCACAGCACTTTTGAAAACTTTCCATTGTTTAATGGCAGGAAATAGTTTCCTCTGTTTTGTACAATATAAATCTTAAAAAGATCATTGTACATCAACTGTTTTGTTTTTTCTCTGAAAGAGTGACATAGTGGGAGAGACAGAAATCTTGCTGGTTCACTCCCCAAACTGCTACAACAGCCTGGACTGGCCGGACCAAAGGCAGGAGCTTCTGGGTCTCTTGTGGGTGCAGACTCCCAAGGCTTTGGGCCATCTTCTACTGCTTTCTCAGACCACAAGTGGGGAGCTGGATGGGAAGTACAACAGCCAGGACACAAACTGGCGTGCTGGGGTCCATGTGGTGGGTGTTGAAGACATGAAGGTGTGAAGAGTATTGTTCCATTACAGGTAGGGCTACAAGGAATTTCTCACTGCATGGCAGGGCCCAGCGGATGTCTCCGCACCCACCTGAAGGCATCTCCACCTCCCTATGCATGGACACCAGACAACCCTGCTGGGATTTCTGTAATCTACTTAGCCATTGTCTGCTCTGCCGAGTTGGTCTTTACTATCAATGTGAGCTTGGAAGTTGATGTTGCTGATACCATTTTAGCAAAAGGGCCTTTTATTGCTGCCCCCATTGACCTTATGCTAATCAAGGTTGTTAAGTCCCCAGGTGTAGTGGGAATCTATTCTTTCCTCTTCTCTTGGTCTTTAACTCCCTCCTCCTGTGATGCATTTCCTTCCTTAACTGATTCAAGAAGTTATGAGGACTGCAGTAGGAATGTGTTAACTGATTGATATGCACATCTGTTGAGAGCTTCCTGACCACAGGATCAGGATGGATAACAGCCAGCTTTAAGGTCAAACAAATTCAGCATAGCATCGACCATTGCGCTCACTTGGGGAGTGAATCATCGGATGGAAGATCTTCCTCTCTGTCTCCTCTCTGTATATCCGCCTTTTCAATGAAAAAATAATAAAAATAAATCTAAAAAAAAGGGTGAAACAAATGGCAGAATTATCCTTGGAAGCACCCACTTGACCATGACATAAAAAGTCTGAGCCAGAGTTTGACTGCTTTTGTATAACTAAAGCAGACAGCTTTCTTGCATTGTCCTTTATGATCCTGGGATTGTAGAGGTCCATGCACCCTTCGAACTCGGCTGGAGCTGGACTCCGGCACTGGCGGCCATATGGGATTCCAGATGTGCAAGGCGAGGACTTTAACCGCTTGGCTACCACTCTGCGCCCATTAGGTGTGTTGTTTTAATTTGAAAAGAAATAATTTGAAATAGCCAAGTTAGGGCCAGTGTTGTGGCAGTTGTTTAAGCTGTCACTTATGGGACTGATGTGATAGGTCAGTGACTGACTGCCGCCATTTGGGCACCAGTTTGTATCCCAGCTGCCCACTTCCCATCCAGCTCCCTGCTTGTGGCCTGGGAAAGCAGTAGAGAACAGCCCAAGGTCTTAGGACCCTGCACCAGCGCAGGAGACCTAGAGGAAGCTCCTGGTCCCCGGCTCCGGATCGGCAGAGCTCCAGCCATTGTGGTTTCTTGGGGAATGGATCATCGGAAGGAAGATCTTCCTCTCTGTCTCTCCTCTGTATATCTGACTTTGTAATAAAAATAAATCTTGATTTTTTTGTTGTTGTTGTTGAGCTAGGGGCCAGCGCAATGACTCAGTGGGCTGATTCTCCCTCTTTGGGTGCCTGGATCCCATCGGGTCCGGTTTGTGTGCTGGCTACTCCACTTCCCATGCAGCTCCCACTGAGCTGGGCAAGCAGTAAAGGATGGCCCAAAGGGCTTGGGGCTCTGCACCCACGTGGGAGACCTGTGGGATGCTCCTGGCTTTGGATCAGCTCCAGCCTTTGCAGCCACCTCAGGAGTAAACCAGTGGATGGAGGATCTTCCTATTTCTCCTCTCCGTGGGTCTGCCTTTCTAATGAAGGTTAAACAAAATCTGACCCAGGCTGCCTAGGGGCAGCTTTCCCTTGTTTGCACTGGTTCTGCCCACTCTGTCCCAGTCTAATGTTTCTTGCAAGTTCTGCATTCTCTGGAATCAAATTCCAGCAAATAAACCATTTTTAGAATTTGCCTGGTTCCTGCAAAACCGTGTACCCCTGGATTTCTTGGCTATAATCCCGGGCAATGGGAACTCTTGCCAAAAGATTTTGGAGACATTTGGAGGGCCCTCCTAGCATGCGGCAGGCCCCTTAGCATTCTGTAACAGTATCAAGCACCTGTCACGGGATGCTGCGTCTGAGAGGTGGATGAATGAACACAAGGAAGAAATTTGGCTGCAGGGACCGAGGTTCTTCTGCAGTTCCGCGTCCAAGGGGCGGGTCTCGGTGCCAGCCCCACGTGCTTCCACCCAGGTTGCTGACTGCCAGCCACGCGTGCTCGACACACCGGATGTGGCGTCAGTCCCCCGCGGTTCCCGGAATGAGGCGGAGGGACGGGAACTTCACTCGGGTCGGGGGCGGGCGGGCGCACCGATGACCGGAAGTGGGCGCGAGCACACGCGGCCAGCTCCGGCTCCCCGGTGAAGGCGGGGCGCGGGGCGGAGCCGCTGCAGGGGCGGGAGCTGCGGGCTGGCGGCGGGGGGCCGGCACCCCTGGTCGTCCCCGCCGGACCCCCCCCGCTGCTCCGGCGCCCGTGGCGGCGCGGCCATGAAGCTGAAGCTGAAGAACGTGTTTCTCGCCTACTTCTTGGTGTCCATCGCCGGCCTCCTCTACGCGCTGGTGCAGCTCGGTGAGCGGGGCGGGGGGTGCGTGCACCCATCCCGCTCGGCCCCACGGACGGCCCTGTCTGCGGCCGCGGGCGCACTCCCCTCCCTGGGACCTTGCGAGGCCTGCATGATCTCGCCGCTGTCCACCTGTCCGCTCTCCCTGGCGCTGCTGCAGCCAGCCTGCCCTTCTGACAGTTTCTCCAAAACCCCAGGCTCGCGCTGGCGCACCGCGGCGCTCTGCTCCCGGGTCTTTCCTCCCCACTGCTGGTCTTTCTCCTCTTTCAGGTCCTAGGTCAAGTGCCACCTCCGGAGAGGCCTTGGCGGCCACCCTAGCTAGCGTAACCTGCTTTCCGATTCCTTTTGATTCTCCGCCCTTCACAGTCCGTAAATGATTTATTAATCTGTTTCTTTGCTTTGTGTCTGCCTCCCCTACTAACCTGAAAGCCCCTAATGGGGAGAGACCGCGTGGGGCTTTGCTCCCTGCTGTATTCCTAGCACGAAGGCTGTGCCTCCAAAGAGGAGTGTTCAATAAATATTTATCCATTGATGGCATCGATGAATTTAATAATGAGTCTTGTGTCACACAGCCAAGGAAACAGATTGAGCCCTGTCATTCAAGGCTTTAGGGACAGTGCCACCTCATGACCCTCGGGTACTTGAAGGACTACCCTTTTAAGGACATCCACCTGTTTCTTATGAGCCCAGTATCCAAAATTAGGTAGATAGGTAGACGGGATGGAGGGAGATAGTCCACGCAGTGTCCTAGTGGAAATGAGAATGTACTGACGATGAGGGGAATGTACTGCTAACGGAGGCTATGCCTCCCGTACCCCCAGACGTGTGGAAGAGGCTCCTGAGAAGTGGACAGGGGAGCGATGGCTCTGTTACAGCCTGGCGGGTGAGTGAGGGAGTGGTCCTCAGAGGAGATGCGCTGGAGTCTGAGGCTCTGCCCCCAGCCCCTTTCATGATTGGTGCTTCCCCGGAACAGGCCAGCCATGTGACTGCCTCCCTCCACTGCGGGCAGCAGCTGAACAGCTTCGGCAGAAGGATCTCAGGATTTCCCAGCTGCAGGCAGATCTTCGCCGTCCACCCCCTGTCCCTGCCCAGCCCCCTGAGCCCGAGGCCCTGCCTACTATCTATGTTATTACCCCCACCTATGCCAGGTATGGGCTCAGGTGCACCCAGAAGGGCTGTGTCAGCCAAGCCGTTGGGTTGTGGAGCAGTGCTGGGAGGCTCTGGGTGGGGGGCCTTTCCTCAGAGGAGAGCACACGGGAGGGCAGGACAAGTGACCCGCATCTCCCAAGGAAGGTCTCCTCTCTGTTCAGCAGGGACAGATGGACTACGAAGTAGAGTACCAAGGGCCTGCAAAATATTAGCAGAGCATGAAGTTTCAAAGACATTTTGAACTTCTCAATGAGTTAACTAGTGAAAGTTAAGCCCTGCAGGGGGAAGAGGCAGTCCTTAGCAGGAACTAGCTATTATTTCCATTGTGACTATTCCCTACAAGGCACTGAGTTAAGTGCTTTGCATTTATTTTGTCTCCATTAAACTGAAGCCTTATTGCAGAATCAGCCCAGTAGGGAGGCTGTGTGTTGTATCTGTCATTCACAGGACTTGCTGACACACCTCCCAGGACTCAGGTGGCTGAGCTGGTCAGGTACAGGCAGCTCTACACAAGCCCCTTTTGCAGATGTGTACCACCACTGCTGGGGCTGGCAGGCAGAGCTGCCCACTCCTAGTTCCTTCTCTAAACTCAGATATTTCCCTGGGATGAGCCGTGCTGCTCGGCTAAAATCAGTTGCTCCCTAGAAACCCTGCATAGCAGGAACAGCATTGGCCGCTATCTGATGTCATCTTGAAAACATCCCCCTTAGAGAAGCACTGTTGTTTCCATTCTACACCTGAGCAAATGGAGGTCAGGGAGCATGAGCTCTGTTCTGAGCAGCGCGGATGCACACTTAGATCTGTCTGACCCTGGAGCCTCCCTGCCCTGAACTGATAATCTCCCACAGTTGAGGTGGGTGCCAGGCAGAAGTAGAAAAACAGGGCAGGTGGACATCAGCATGAAGGTGACCAGCAAGAGAGAGGTTAATTTAGGCACTTCTGGGAGCAGGCCACGGGGGGGAGGGGGGGAACACACACCCAGAAGCAGCCTAGTCTCAATTTGGGGAGCACGTGGGGTCTACGCCCTCCCTTCTTGCTGCATCTCTCCCTCCTGCAGGCTCGTGCAGAAGGCAGAGCTGGTCCGGCTATCCCAGACCCTGAGCCTTGTGCCCCGGCTGCACTGGCTGTTGGTGGAGGATGCTGAGGGCCCTACCCCATTGGTCTCAGGACTGCTAGCCGCCTCGGGTCTCCTCTTCACGCACCTGGCAGTCCTCACCCCCAAGGCCCAGCGGCTTCGGGAAGGTGAACCAGGCTGGGTCCGGCCCCGTGGTGTAGAACAGCGGAATAAGGCCCTGGACTGGCTCCGGGGCAAAGGGGGTGCCGTGGGGGGTGAGAAGGACCCACCACCACCAGGGACCCACGGAGTCGTGTACTTTGCTGACGATGACAATACCTACAGCCGGGAGCTGTTTGAGGAGGTGAGCACTGGGATGGAAATGGGACAGGCTCCATCTGTTTCCATGGTTACCAGGGGGTGGGAGGCTGCAGGGTGCATGGGGCAAAGGGGCTCTCTGTGCTGCTCCCTTTCCCCTGGGCCACCCCTCACTGTTTTCTCTTCTGACCTCCGTTAGATGCGTTGGACTCGTGGTGTCTCAGTGTGGCCTGTGGGGCTGGTGGGCGGCCTGCGGTTCGAGGGTCCTCGGGTACAGGATGGCCGAGTTGTGGGCTTCCACACGGCCTGGGAGCCCAACAGGCCCTTCCCTGTGGACATGGCGGGATTTGCCGTCGCCCTGCCCTTGCTGTTGGCTAAGCCCAGTGCCCAGTTTGACGCTACTGCCCCCCGGGGCCACCTGGAGAGCAGTCTCCTGAGCCACCTTGTGGACCCCAAGGACCTGGAGCCCCGGGCTGCCAACTGCACTCGGGTAAGGGCACAAAGCTGGGCACATCTGGGATGGTCCTGGGGTGGGGGGAGGGGTAGACCAGGAAGTTCCCCCACCAGCTCTCTGAGCCACCTTGCTTCTTTTCCCCAAGAAAGGGTCCCTGAGGAGCAAAGGAAGATGGGTGTTCCCCTGCCACTATGTCTGAGGGTCCAGACCCTGGGTGGCCTAGAGAGGGTGCAGGGACAGGGATACATTTTAGAGGCATTAGAGCTTTCCTGCCCCCACCCCAGCCCTTCACATTTTATGGTCCTTAGAGGGGGGCCTGGGGAGCCTAACTGAACCCTCCTGGTACAGGTGCTAGTGTGGCACACACGGACCGAGAAGCCCAAGATGAAGCAGGAAGAGCAGCTGCAGCGGCAGGGCCGCGCCTCAGACCCTGCCATCGAGGTGTGATGGCGGCCCCACCCTGACCACTACATTTCAGGCACAGACCTTGAGGGACTGGGCCCCAGGCCTGGCTGGCTTTCTAATTCCTGACCCCTCCAGAGCCAGGGTTGGGCCCAGGGCGTGGCCCAGCTGCTTCCCCTCCCCCTCCCCAGCCTGCCTTGTGGGCGGCCCACAGGCTGGGGACAAGCCGCCCTTGTATTGAGCCAGGTCAGCCTTGCCTGGGGTGAGCAGAAGGCCGGCCCACTGAGGAGGGCGGGCGGCAGAGGAACTGGGTAACTTATTGGGGGTTGGGCGTGCACTGGGGGGCTGGAGGAGCTGGCTGGACCCTCCCCACCTGAGCATGCAGACTCCCCTCCTACCTCCAGAATAAAGAATCTCAACCCTGAGGGTGCCCTTGTCATCCTTTGCTCTGCACAGCTGGTTCTTGCTGTCAGAACCTCTGAAATCTGGACGCTTTTTGCTGCACAGGCTGAACCAGGGCCCAAGCTCTGGGGTCCTGGCCTTTCCATGGAACAGAAGTCGGTTCTGTCGGGGCTCCTCCCCCTTGATGAGACACAGCCGCAACTTCCAGCTGAACTTTATTAAGTCTGTTCACCTGCAGACTTCCCATGACACTTGTCACTTTCCCATCAGCCTGTTTTCTGTTCCCTGTTGTTCCGGCCATGAGGCCTAGGCCCTAGGACACCTGTTTTCCCATTTTGTCCTAATCCAGCTGGATGACTTTCCTTTATCCTTGTAATCCCAAAGACACACACACACCCCTGGAGCCTTGCAGGGGTGGGTGCGAGGTGCTAGGTTTCCAGACTTGTTCATCCTTCCCTCTCCCTTCTCCCCAGGCCACACCCCATGTTGCAGGTCACTGGTCCTCAGGTGGACCCTCTTGGGGCAGAGCCTGGCCTGGTGCAGCCTCCTGGGGTGCTGGCTTGGGAGCAACCCCTCCTTGAAGCCAAGATGTTTTCAGCATGTCTTTCAGCCCAGCTGGAAAGAGATAGCCCTGGGTGTCTCCTTCCGCGTCGATGACCCCTCCCAGCCCCTCCAGCGCCGTCTGCAGGTACCTTAAACCCAGCAGCACCAAAGCCTGTGGGGGAAGCAAGGGGAAAAGCGTCAAGGGTGGTCAGTAGTTCAGGACTCCAGGGCGGGAGACCACAATGGGTCCCAGGTCGAGGGAGGCCCTGGACACTTTGCTAACTCACCTGCAGTAGGAAAGTCATGGCCAGCAGGCTGCCCAGTGTGCCTGCCAAACCCTGCAGGTATCCCAGCAGCACCCCATGGCACCCTTGGGCCCAGAGGTTCAGGTTGGGTTGCCGAGGATCGAAGAGGGGGTGGGCGTGGGGGTCGGAGAGACGGCTCTGCAGGCAGGGCCGCGGTGAGTGGGGGTTGCAGCAGGAGAAGGGGACGCCGTCGATCAGGTAGAGGCCTTCCACGTTGCTCTGGATCCGGCTGCAGGGGGAAGGGCGGGCTGTGAGGTGGGCTGGAGGTGGGCAGGGCGGGACGCAGACAGCAAAGCCTGCACTGCCTCTTCAGCTCCAATGAGCTCTGCAGCTCTCTACAATATGTAACTATCTACAAGGTAAATGTTGTTCTTTCACTTTACAGGCTGGGACATAGGCCCTGAGTGGCCTGGCTGCAGGACTTGAGTCACACAGCCGATAAGGGACAGGGCTCTAAGCCATTCTCCCGACCACTACTCTAGTTATAGTCCCACCTGGGTGAAGGGGGGGTTGTGTCTCAGGGCAAGGGAAGGGAAAGGCCTCCAGCAGAGAAAGGAAGGGAAGGTGAAAGAAACCACTCACTCAGCCACGTCCTGATCACCAGGGTCCAGGTAACGGCTGCTCACCCACTGGAACCCAAACCAATCCTTGTAGCCGTGGCGCCCACAGCACTGGTGCTTTAGCTGCAGCTCATCCACCAGCCGCTTGGCATGACAATGTCCTGGCACCTCTGTATCCTTGTAGTGAACCAAGGCGGTCCCTAGGCCCTCCTCCAGCCCGTCCTCCAGACTGCCAGGCAAACCCAGGGCTAGCCCCAGGGCCAGGACTAGGAGCCCCCCACCCACAGCAGTGCCAGCCACCAGCAGGGGGCCCAGGACCCCCCGCCAGGCTGGGTACCGAGCCGCATCCAGACTTGCCCGGCTGGCTCCTGCACCCCCAAGTCCTGTGCCCAGGGCCAAGGCGCCTGCTGCCAGAGCAGTCCGCGGCAGGGCAGGGAATGGGCAAGATGGAGACAGGAAGGTGCCAAGGTGCCACAGCTGGATGAGAAGGTGCCCGCTACAGAGGAGGGTGAGGCTACTGGCCAGCGCCAGCAGCCAGGAGCACAGCCACAGCCCCTGTGCCAGCCGGATGCGGGGCTGGAGCGGCAGCACCAGCGGCAGCACCGGCGCCATCTCCCATCTCTGCCCCAGAGAGAGAACAACTGGCGGGGATGGGGGCTGGCCGGGGGCGGGTCGCTGAGTCAGCCTCTCTTGGCTTGAGCTGGGCTAATGCCACCCTGACCCCAATACCCTGGGCATCCTGTCACACACATCACTCCCGCCCCCCAGCCTTAAGAAGCCAACGCCAGCTCCCATTCGGGATGCCTTGGCCAGGTCCCTTAGGAAAAGTTCCGCCCCCGGGCTGAAGGCCCGTTTCGTGACCCCGCCCCTGCCCTTTCGCGGAAGTCGGGGGTTTGGTCGACTGAGCCCTAAGAGGCCAAGGGACTGGGTGGTGGGGGATTGAGACGCACTTCGCCTCCAGGATCCCCCTGGGAATCGGGGGGCGGGGACCCGGGAGGGTTTGGCGACCCGAGGCCGGCAGGGTGAGCGAGGGTCAGGCGCTGGCCCCGCCCCCGACGGCGCGGCGAGGTCCGGACAGGGAGGGGTTACCAGGCGGCCCGGCCCCCCCCCTCCCGCGCTTCCTGGCGGCTCCGCGTCCGGCGCCTGTTTGTGCTGCGGCGGCTGGGGCCCGGGACGGCCCCGCCACCCGACTCCCGGGAGTCCAGAGCGGCCCCGGGAGAGTCCGAGGCCCTCCCGGGCCGGGGAGGTCGCGGCCCCGGCCCCATAGCGCCCCCTCCAGGCCCTTTCCCCGCACCCGACAGCGCCCCCGAGGGGTGGCACGGTACCCCTGCGCGCGCGCGTCCCGGGGTGCTTCCCTTTCCCCCCTCCCCGGCTATGGCCCCCGCGGCTTAGACGCCGCCGCCGCCGCCGCTCCGAGCCGCCCGGGGGCCGAATGGAGGGGGCCGCGGGGCCCGGTGAGTACGGGGCGGGGCGGGCGGCGTGCCCCTTCCCGGAGCGCCCGGCCCGTCGGGCGCCCCCGACGGCTGTCTGGCTGCGTCCCCGCGTGCTCCCGCGTCCCAGGGGCTTTGAGCATCCTTCACGGTGGTCCAGGTCGCCCTGCCCGGTCACTCGGGTCCTCCTGTCATTACGGACTTGCCCCACGGCGCTGTGTCCCCGGTGTGACTGGGGAGCCTTGGAGGTTCTCTTGTCCCCCGTGTTCCTCTGGGCTTCTGCTCCTGCTGTCCTGGGTTTTTCCATCTCTGACTCCCAGCCTCGCTCCTTCGGGACCGTGGCTACCACCTTTTCACCACGGAGAGCCTCCCCTGGCACTCTGGGTCTCTTCCTGTACTCGGGGGCCTCCTCCCTCTGACTGCACTGTGGTGCCCCCTCCCCTTTGCCCGGTTCCGGGGCTTCAGTCACTGTGCACTTTCGCTGGGGATCTGCGCTTGTTGGTGCAGCGATGGGTGGTGGAAGGGTTGCAATCCCTCCCCTCCCTGGGACCGCTCCTCCCTCCCCCCACTGCGGCTCCCACGTTCCTCGGCATTACTCCATATTTCCCCCCCTGGTACTCCATGGTACTCCCTGTCTTTGCGGAGGCTGAGACGGCAGCAGGAAGGGCGCTTTGCCAGGCTCCTGCCTGCCCTACCAGAAGGAGGCCCTTGATCCTTTACCACCCGCCTCCTCCCTCTCTGCACTGGGTTCCAAGCCCCGGGAGGGTGTGTGTGGGGGTGGGGGGGCGCTACTTGAAGAGGGCCTATGCTGCAGGCCCTCGGGACCAGGTAGGGGAACCTTCTCATTGCTTCCTGCCTCTTGCCTAGGTGAGGGCCCTACGCAGGAGGCCCTGCAGTCCTTGAGCCAGAGGCTTCGTGTGCAGGAGGAGGAGATGGAGCTGGTAAAGGCAGCCCTGGCAGAGGCCCTTCGCCTGCTGCGGCTGCAGGCGGCCCCCGGCTCCCTGCAGGGCTTGGGTGTGCCGGCTCCTGCCAGGGCCAGGTATGTGCCTGTGTCTGGCCACAGGTACCCCTCCTCCGTTTCCCTGGGGCCTTTGGGCCTTCAGATTAATTCGCTGTCTCCCCAGCAGCCCTGCAGTGCCCCCAGGACTGCTGCCCACCTGTAGCCCATCCTTGGTGAGCCGAGGCACCCAGACCGACCCAGAGGTGGTGGAGATAGAGCCAACCCCTGGACCTCCTGGCCTGAGCAACGGGCCCCCCGTCCCTCAGGGAGGCGGCGAGGAGCCTGGTGGCACGCAGTCTGAGGGAGGGGGCAGCAGCAGCAGTGGTGCTGGCTCCCCCGGCCCCCCAGGGAACCTCCGGCCTCTGCAGCCCCCACCGCGTGGCGCTGACACGTAGGTGTCCTGTGATGGGGCCTCGGAAAGCTGGGAGGATTCTGGGAGCAAGGGCTGGGGCGGCTGCCCCTCCCTCACCTGGTTGCTGTGCCTTCAGCAGGCCTCGCAGAAATTCTTCGTCATCCTCTCCCTCTGAACGGCCTCGGCAGAAGCTGTCCAGAAAGGCGGCTTCCTCGGCTAACCTGTTACTGCGGTCAGGGAGCACTGAGAGGTGGGTGGGGTTCCTGGGGACTCAGCCTGCTGAGTCTCCACCTCCCTCACACCCTTTCCCTGGGCAGGGTTGGAGTAAGCATTGCTGGGCCGCCTGCTGTGTACCAGGGCCTCTTCCAGCTCCTTCAGACCCCTCCGCCCGGGAAGCAGGGAGGAAGGGAGTAGGTTGGCTTCTGCTGTCCATGGTACAGGTGAGGAAGTGGGCTCAGAGAGCCTCAGTCCTCTGCCTGAAGTCACACAGCTAGAGTTGGGATTTGAGATCAAGAAGTCCTTCCTGTAACACAGCAAGCTTCTGCAAGAGACCCTGTGATTTTTCACGAATGGTTGTTCTCAGAGCTTCGACCCCTCTTTTCCTTAAACCTATCTACCACTCTTTTCTTTGGATGGTACGGGGACAAGGGAGTGGCCAGCTGTGTCATGTGCAGGCTCCAGGACACCTGAAGAGTCATTCTAACCCCATCCTTCCCTGGTCTCTGGTCTCCAAGGAGATACCATCACCCCATGGTAGTTACCTGTCCTCTTGCGACACGGGGCTCTCCTGCTCACCTCCAAGCCCCAGGCAGGGCAGGGCAGGGCAGGG